AAACTACTGCATCCCTGGGCCATCCTAGGGATGGGAGTGCTCTCAGAGGCTCTCCAAGGGACGGCGGCGCCCCCAGGGACACTCCCAGGGAAATTGGCGCCCAAGAGGCAATCCCAGTGACGTCGGCGCCCCCAGGGGCCATGGAAAGGGTGGTGGCGCCCTCAGGGGCCTTGCCAGAAGCGGTGGCGCCCACAGCGGCTTTGCCAGGGGCGCTGGCGTCCTCAGGGGATCTTCCTGGTGCAGACTCACCCCCAGGGACCCTTGCAGGGACGGCAGTGCCTCCATGGGCCTTGCCCGAGAAGTTAGCGCCCCCAGGGGCTCTCTCAAGGACATCGGCGCTCACAGGGGCCCTGCCAGGGTCGGAGGCACCCCCAGGGGCTCTCTCAAAGACATCGGCGCTCTCTGGGGCCCTGCCAGGGACAGTGGTTTACCGGGGGTCCTGCCAGGTTCGGAGGCGTCCACAGGGGCTCTCCCAGGGACAACGGTGCTCCCAGGGGCCCTGTCAGGAGCGGTGGTGTCCCCAGAGGCTATGTCATAGACATCAGAGCTTCCACGGAAAGCGCCGACCCCAACGACCGTACCAAGGGTGTGCAGGGGCCATATGGCATGCTTGTCCGTCGTATCATATATATTACATACTTCCAGCAGTCCCTTACTTAACTGTGATTGGTGGACTATTCTCTTAACCCACCAAATTACAGCCAATAGGAGCAGGGAGGGTCCCTGCAAGCACTCCAGTCCCTGGGAGGGGCCCTGGTTGCAGTAGCTTTTGCACTATTTAGAGCTCTGGGAGAAGCAATTTTAAATAAATACACAGCCGCCCATCACATTTCCAGTATCTTTCCATTCTGAAGAAGGAAATGGAGAATAATATCAACAGGAAAACATAAGTTGGGGTGTTGTGCTGACTGACTGCTCTCTGCTCCTATTGGCTGTAATTTGGTGGGTTAAAAAATAGTCCACCAATCACAGTTAACTCACCAAATTACAGCTAATAGGAGCAGAGAGCAGTCAGTCAGCACAACACCTCAACTTATGTTTTTCTGTTGATATTATTCTCCATTCCCTTCTTCAGAATGCGATGATACTGGAAATGTGATGGGCGGTGGTGTATTTTAACGCTGCTTCTCCCAGAGCTCTAAGTAGCACAAAAACTACTGCAACCCTTGGCCCTCCTAGGGACGGGAGCGCTTGCAGGGATCCTCCTAGGGACGGGAGCTCTCCCAGGGCCTGTGCCATGGGCGGTGGCACCCCTAGAGGCTCTTCCAGAGACATTAGCACTCTCCCAGGAACAGCAGCGCCTGCAGGGGCCCTGCCAAGGACAGTAGCGCTGGCCAGGACGCTCCCAGGGGTCCTCCCAGAGATGGCGGTGCCCCCATTGACTCTCCCAGTGACAGCAGCGCCCCGGGGGCCCTCCCAGGGACGGCAGCGCCAGAAGGGCCGTTTTGGGAGGGCCCTTGAGAGTGCCAATATCACTAGTAGAGCCTTTAGGATATGCTACCACCCCTGGCACAGCCCCTGGAAGCGTTCCCGTCCCTGGGTACAGTCCCTGGCAAGGTTCCTGGGAGGGTCCCTGAGGGCGCTGCCGTCCCTAGAAGGCCCCCTGGGAGCACTGCTGTCCCAGGGAGAGCCCCTGGAGGCGCCAGCGCCCCTTGTAAGGCCTCTGAGGGCCCCTCCGTCTCTGGCAAGTCTCCAGGGGACGCCAACGCCCCTTCCAGGACCCCTAAAGGCGCTGACGTGCCTGGGAGGGCCCCTGGGCCACCGCTGGCCATATGAGTGTCACTGGTGGCGCCACCGCTTCTGGCAAAGCCCCTGGGAGCGCCACCGCCCCTTGAAGGGCCCCTGTAGGCGCCTATGTCCCTCAGAGGACTCCTGGGATGCCACTGTCACTGGAAGAGTCCCCAGGGGTGCCACAGCCCCTGGGAGGGCCCCTGCAAGCGCTCCCGTCCTTGGGAGGGTCCTTGCAAGCACTTCAGTCCCTGGGAGGGCCCCTGGTTGCAGTAGCTTTTGCATCTATTTAGAGCTCTGGCAGAAGCAATTTTAAATAAATACACTGCCGCCCATCACATTTCCAGTATCTTTACATTCTGAAGAAAGTAATAGAGAATAATATCAACAGGAAAACATAAGTTGGGGTGTTGTGCTGAATGACTGCTCTCTGCTCCTATTGGCTGTAATTTGGTGGGTTAAAAAATAGTCCACCAATCACAGTTAACCCACCATATTACAGCCATTAGGAGCAGAGAGCAGTCATTCAGCACAACACCTCAACTTATGTTTTCCTGTTGATATTATTCTCCATTACCTTCTTCAGAATGCGATGATACTGGAAATGTGATGGGCGGTGGTGTATTTATTTAACGCTGCTTCTCCCAGATCTCTAAGTGGCACAAAAACTACTGCAACCATGGGCCCTCCCAGAGACAGGAGCGCGTGCAGTGATACTCCCAGGGATGGGAGCTCTCCCAGGGCCTGTGCCATGGGCGGTGGCACCCCTAGAGGCTTTTCCAGTAACATTGGCACTCTCCCAGGAACAGCAGCGCCTGCAGGGGCCCTGCCAAGGACAGTAGCGCTGGCCAGGACGCTCCCAGGGGTCCTCCCAGAGATGGCGGTGCCCCCATTGACTCGCCCAGTGACAGCAGCGCCCCAGGGGCCCTCCCAGGGATGGCGGCGCCAGAAGGGCCGTTTCGGGAGGGCCCTTCACAGCGCCAATATCCCTAGTAGAGCCGTTAGGATATGCTACCACCCCTGGCACAGCCCCTGGAAGCGTTCTCGTCCCTGGGTAGGGTCCCTGGCAAGGTGCCTAGGAGGGTCCCTGAGGGCGCTGCCGTCCCTAGAAGGCCCCCTGGGAGCACTGCTGTCCCAGGGAGAGCCCCTGGTGGCGCCAGCGCCCATGGTAATGCCTCTGTGGGCCCCACCGTCCCTGGCAAGGCCCCAGGGGACGCCAAAGCCTCTTGCAGAACCCCGAGGGGTGCTGACGTGCCTGGGAGGGCCCCTGAGCCACTGATGGCCCTGTGAGTGTCCCTGATGGTGCCACCGCCTCTGGCAAGGCCCCGGGGGACGCCAACGCCCCTTCCAGGACCTCTAAAGGCGCTGACGTCCCTGGGAGTGCCCCTGGGCCTGCTGGCCCAGTGAGTGTCCCTGGTGATTGTTACAACATATAGCAAAGTCCCTGGGGGCGCCAAGGCCTTGAAAGAGGCCCCTGGAGGCCATGATGTCCCTCAAGGACTCCTGGTACGCCACTGTCACTGGAAGAATTACAGGGGTGCCACAGTCCCTGGGAGGCCCCTCACAAGCCCTCCCCGTCCTTGGGAGGTTCACCTGCTTACTCCAGTCCCTGGGAGGGGCCCTGGTTGCAGTAGCTTTTGCACTATTTAGAGCTCTGGGAGAAGCAATTTTAAATAAATACACCGCCGCCCATCACATTTCCAGTATCTTTGCATTCTGAAGAAGGTAATGGAGAATAATATCAACAGGAAAACATAAGTTGGGGTGTTGTGCTGACTGACTGCTCTCTGCTCCTATTGGCTGTAATTTGGTGGGTTAAAAAATAGTCCACCAATCACAGTTAACCCACCAAATTACAGCTAATAGGAGCAGAGAGCAGTCAGTCAGCACAACACCTCAACTTATGTTTTTCTGTTGATATTATTCTCCATTCCCTTCTTCAGAATGCGATGATACTGGAAATGTGATGGGCGGTGGTGTATTTTAACGCTGCTTCTCCCAGAGCTCTAAGTAGCACAAAAACTACTGCAACCCTTGGCCCTCCTAGGGACGGGAGCGTTGCAGGGATCCTCCAGGGACGGGAGCTCTCCCAGGGCCTGTGCCATGGGCGGTGGCACCCCTAGAGGCTCTTCCAGAGACATTAGCACTCTCCCAGGAACAGCAGCGCCTGCAGGGGCCCTGCCAAGGACAGTAGCGCTGGCCAGGACGCTCCCAGGGGTCCTCCCAGAGATGGCGGTGCCCCCATTGACTCTCTCAGTGACAGCAGCGCCCCGGGGGCCCTCCCAGGGACGGCAGCGCCAGAAGGGCCGTTTTGGTAGGGCCCTTGAGAGTGCCAATATCACTAGTAGAGCCTTTAGGATATGCTACCACCCCTGGCACAGCCCCTGGAAGCGCACCAGTCCCTGGGTACAGTCCCTGGCAAGGTTCCTGGGAGGGTCCCTGAGGGCGCTGCCGTCCCTAGAAGGCCCCCTGGGAGCACTGCTGTCCCAGGGAGAGCCCCTGGAGGCGCCAGCGCCCCTTGTAAGGCCTCTGAGGGCCCCTCCGTCTCTGGCAAGGCTCCAGAGGACGCCAACGCCCCTTCCAGGACCCCTAAAGGCGCTGACGTGCCTATGAGGGCCCCTGGGCCACCGCTGGCCCTATGAGTGTCCCTGGTGGCGCCACCGCTTCTGGCAAAGCCCCTGGGAGCGCCACCGCCCCTTGAAGGGCCCCTGTAGGCGCCTATGTCCCTCAGAGGACTCCTGGGATGCCACTGTCACTGGAAGAGTCCCCAGGGGTGCCACAGCCCCTGGGAGGGCCCCTGCAAGCGCTCCCGTCCTTGGGAGGGTCCCACCAAGCACTTCAGTCCCTGGGAGGGCCCCTGGTTGCAGTAGCTTTTGCATCTATTTAGAGCTCTGGGAGAAGCAATTTTAAATAAATACACCGCCGCCCATCACATTTCCAGTATCTTTACATTCTGAATAAGGTAATAGAGAATAATATCAACAGGAAAACATAAGCTGGGGTGTTGGCTGAATGACTGCTCTCTGCTCCTATTGGCTGTAATTTGGTGGGTTAAAAAATAGTCCACCAATCACAGTTAACCCACCATATTACAGCCATTAGGAGCAGAGAGCAGTCATTCAGCACAACACCTCAACTTATGTTTTCCTGTTGATATTATTCTCCATTACCTTCTTCAGAATGCGATGATACTGGAAATGTGATGGGCGGTGGTGTATTTATTTAACGCTGCTTCTCCCAGATCTCTAAGTGGCACAAAAACTACTGCAACCATGGGCCCTCCCAGAGACAGGAGCGCGTGCAGTGATCCTCCCAGGGACGGGAGCTCTCCCAGGGCCTGTGCCATGGGCGGTGGCACCCCTAGAGGCTTTTCCAGGGACATTGGCACTCTCCCAGGAACAGCAGCGCCTGCAGGGGCCCTGCCAAGGACAGTAGCGCTGGCCAGGACGATCCCAGGGGTCCTCCCACAGATGGCGGTGCCCCCATTGACTCGCCCAGTGACAGCAGCGCCCCAGGGGCCCTCCCAGGGATGGCGGCGCCAGAAGGGCCGTTTTGGGAGGGCCCTTCACAGCGCCAATATCCCTAGTAGAGCCGTTAGGATATGCTACCACCCCTGGCACAGCCCCTGGAAGCGTTCTCGTCCCTGGGTAGGGTCCCTGGCAAGGTGCCTAGGAGGGTCCCTGAGGGCGCTGCCGTCCCTAGAAGGCCCCCTGGGAGCACTGCTGTCCCAGGGAGAGCCCCTGGTGGCGCCAGCGCCCATGGTAATGCCTCTGTGGGCCCCACCGTCCCTGGCAAGGCCCCAGGGGACGCCAAAGCCTCTTGCAGAACCCCGAGGGGTGCTGACGTGCCTGGGAGGGCCCCTGAGCCACTGATGGCCCTGTAAGTGTCCCTGATGGCGCCATCGCCTCTGGCAAGGCCCCGGGGGACGCCAACGCCCCTTCCAGGACCTCTAAAGGCGCTGACGTCCCTGGGAGTGCCCCTGGGGCTCTCCTGTCACTGGATGAGTCAATGGGGGCACCGCCATCTCTGGGAGGACCCCTGGGAGCGTCCTGGCCAGCGCTACTGCCCTTGGCAGGGCCCCTCCAGGCGCTGCTGTTACTGGGAGAGCACCAATGTCCCTGCAAGAGCCTCTAGGGGTGCCACTGCCCATGGCACAGGCCCTGTGAGAGCTCCCATCCCTGGGAGGATCCCTGCAAGCATTTCCGTCCCTGGGAGGGCCCTGGTTGCAGTAGTTTTGCTCTATTTACAGATCTGGGAGAAGCAACGTTAAATAAATACACCACCGCCCATCACATTTCCAGTATCATCGCATTCTGAAGAAGGTAATGGAGAATGATATCAACAGGAAAACATAAGTTGAGGTGTTGTGCTGATTGACTGCTCTCTGTTCCTATTGGCTGTAATTTGGTGGGATAAGAGAATAGTCCACCAATCACAGTTAAGTAAGGGACTGCTGGAAGTATGTAATATATATGATACGATGGACAAGGATGCCATAGGGCCCCTGCAGACCCTTGGTACGGTCGCTGGGGTCGGCGCTTTCCCTGGAAGCTCTGATGTCTATGACATAGCCTCTGGGGACACCACCGCTCCTGAGAGGGCCCCTGCGAGCACCTTGTCCCGGAGAGAACCCCTGTGGACGCCTCCGACCCTGGCAGGGCCCCTGGTATACCACTGTCCCTGGCAGGGCCCCTGTGAGCGCCGATGTCATTGACAGAGCCCCTGGGAGCGCCAACTTCTCGGGCAAGGCCCATGGAAGCACTGCCGTCCCTGCAAGGGCCCCTGGGAGTGAGTCTGTCGCAGGAAGATCCCCTGAGGACGCCAGCGCCCCTGGCAAAGCCCCTGAGGGCGCCACTGCCTCTGGCAAGGTCCCTGAGGGCACCACCACCCTTTGCAAGGCCCCTGGGGGCGCCGACGTCACTGGGAGGGCCTCTTGGGCGCCGATTTCCCTGGGAGAGTCCCTGGGGGAGCCGCCGTCCCTGGGGGAGCCTCTGAGAGCACTCCCATCCCTAGGAGGGCCCAGGGTTGCAGAAGTTTTTGTGCTATTTAGAGCTCTGGGAGAAGCAGCGTTAAATAGATACACAGCCGCCCATCACATTTCCAGTATCATCGCATTTGAGTAAGGTAATAGAGAATAATATCAACAGGAAAACATAAGTTGAGGTGTTGTGCTGAATGTCTGCTCTCTGCTCCTATTGGCTGTAATTTGGTGGGTTAACTGTGATTGGTGGACTATTTTTTAACCCACCAAATTACAGCCAATAGGAGCAGAGAGCAGTCAGTCAGCACAACACCCCAACTTATGTTTTCCTGTTGATATTATTCTCTATTACCTTCTTCAGAATGCAAACATACTGGAAATGTGATGGGCGGCGGTGTATTTATTTAAAATTGCTTCTCCCAGAGCTCTAAATATTGCAAAAGCTACTGCAACCAGGGCTCTCCCAGGGATGGGAATGCTTGCAGGGATCCTCCCAGGGACGGGAGCTCTCCCAGGGTCTGTGCCATGGGCGGTTGCACCCCTAGAGGCTCTTGCAGGGACATTGGTGCTCTCCCAGGAACAGCAGCGCCTGGAGGGGCCCTGCCAAGGGCAGTTGCTCTGGCCAGGACGCTCCCAGGGGTCCTCCCAGAGATGGCGGTGCCCCCATTGACTCTCCCAGTGACAGCAGCGCCCCAGGGGCACTCCCAGAGACGGCGGCGCTAGAAGGGCCGTTTTGGGAGGACCCTTCAGAGCGCCAATATCCCTAGTAGAATCTTTAGGATATGCAACCACCTTTTGCACAGCCCCTGGAAGCGTTCCCGTCTCTGGGAAGGGTCCCTGGTAAGGTGGCTGGGAGGGTCCTTGAGGGGGCTGCCGTCCCTAGAAGATCCCCTGGGAGCACTGCTGTCCCAAGGAGAGCCCCTGGTGGCGCCTGCGCCCCTGATAAGGCCCACCGTCTCTGGCAAAGCCTCAGGGGACGCCAACGCCCCTTGCAGAACCCCTGGTGGTGCTGATGTACCTGGGAGGGCCCCTGAGCACCCGATGGCCCTGTGAGTGTCCCTGAAGGCGCCACCGCCCCTGCCAAGGCCCCATCTGACGCCAACGCCCAAGGGGACGCCAACGCCCCTTGTAGGACCCCTAGGGGTGCTGACGTGCCTGGGAGGGCCCCTGAGCCACCGATGGCCCTGTGACTGTCTGTCAGGGCCCCACCGTCTCTGGCAAGGCCCCAGGGGACGCCAACGCCTCTTCCATGGACCCCTAAAGACGCTGACGTACCTGGGAGGGCTCCTGGGCCACTGCTGGCCCTGTGAGTGTCCCTGGTGATGCCACCGCTTCTGGCAAAGCCCCTGGGGGCACCACCGCCGTTTGAAGGGCCCCTGGAGGCGCCGATGTCCCTCAGACGATTCCTGGGACGCCACTGTCACTGGAAGAGTCCCCAGGGGTTCCACAGCCCCTGGGAGGGCCCCTGGTTGCAGTAGCTTTTACACTATTTAGAGCTCTGGGAGAAGCAATTTTAAATAAATACACCGCCGCCCATCATATTTCCAGTATCTTTGCACTCTGAAGAAGGAAATGGAGAATAATATCAACAGGAAAACATAAGTTGAGGTGTTGTGCTGACTGTCTGCTCTCTGCTCCGATTGGCTGTAATTTGGTGGGTTAAAAAATAGTCCACCAATCACAGTTAACCCACCAAATTACAGCCAATAGGAGCAGAGAGCAATCATTCAGCACAACACCTCAACTATTTCAGAATGCAATAAATGTGATAAAAACTACTGCAACCCTTGGCCCTCCTAGGGACGGGAGCTCTCCCAGGGCCTGTGCCATGGGCGGTGGCACCCCTAGAGGCTCTTCCAGGGACATTGGCACTCTCCCAGGAACAGCAGCGCCTGCAGGGGCCCTGCCAAGGACAGTAGCGCTGGTCAGGACGCTCCCAGGGGTCCTCCCAGAGATGGCGGTGCCCCCATTGACTCTCTCAGTGACAGCAGCGCCAGAGGGGCCCTCCCAGGGAATGCGGCGCCAGAAGGGCGGTTTTCGGTGGGCCCTTGAGAGTGCCAATATCCCTAGTAGAGCCTTTAGGATATGCTACCACCCCTGGCACCGCCCCTGGAAGCGTTCCCGTCGGTGGGTAGGATCCCTGGCAAGGTGCCTCGGAGAATCTGAGGCTGCCTTCCTAGAGGCCTGGGGAACACTTTTTCTGTCCCAGGAGAACCATGGTGTTTCCGCCCTCGTAAGGCCTCTGAGGGCCCCACCGTCTCTGGCAAAGCTCCAGGGGACGCCAACGCCCCTTGCAAAACCCCTGGGGGTGCTGACGTGCCTGGGAGGGGCCCTGGGCCACCGATGGCCCTGTGAGTGTCTCTTATTGCGCCACCGTCTCTGGCAAGGCCCCCGGGGACGCCAACGCCCCTTCCAGGACCCCTAAAAGCGATCACGTGCCTGGGAGGGCCCCTGGGCCACCGCTGGCACTGTGAGAGTCCCTGGTGGTGTCACCGCATCTGGCAAGGCCCCTGGGGGCACCAAGGCCCCTTGAAGGGCCCCTGGAGGCGCTGATGTCCCTCAAAGGACTCCTGAGACGCCACTGTCACTGGAAGAGTCCCCAAGAGTGCCACAGCCGCTGGGAGGGCCCCTGCAAGCCCTCACGTCCCTGGATAGGTGTCCTTGGCAAGGTGCCTGGAAGGGTCCCTGAGGGCGGTGCCTTCCATCGAAGGCCCCCTGGGAGCACTACTGTCCCAGGGAGAGCCCCTGGTGGCGCCAGCGACCCTGGTAAGGCCTCTGAGGGCCCCACCGTCTCTGGCAAGGCCCCAGTGGAAGCCAACGCCCCAAGGGACGCCAACGCCTCTTGCAGGAACCCTGGGGGTGCTGACATGCCTGGGAGGGCACCTGAGACACTGATGGCCCTATGAGTGTCACTGAGGGCCCCACCATCTCTGGCAAGGCCCCAGGGGACGCCAATGCCCTTTCCAGGACCCCTAAAGGCGCTCACATGCCTGGGAGGGCCCCTGGGCCACTGGTGGCACAGTGAGTGTCCCTGGTGGTGTTACCGCATCTGGCAAAGTCCCTGGGGGCGCCAAGGCCCCTTCAAGGGCCCCTGGAGGCGCCGATGTCCCTCAAAGGACTCCTGGTACGCCACTGTCACTGGAAGAGTTCCCAGGGGTGCCACAGTCCCTGGGAGGGCCCCTGCAAGCCCTCCCGTCCTTGGGAGGTTTCCTGCAAGCACTCTAGTCCCTGGGAGGGCCCCTGGTTGCAGTAGCTTTTGCACTATTTAGAGCTCTGGGAGAAGCAATTTTAAATAAATACACTGCCGCCCATCATATTTCCAGTATCTTTGCACTCTGAAGAAGGAAATGGAGAATAATATCAACAGGAAAACATAAGTTGAGGTGTTGTGCTGACTGTCTGTTCTCTGCTCCGATTGGCTGTAATTTGGTGGGTTAAAAAATAGTCCACCAATCACAGTTAACCCACCAAATTACAGCCAATAGGAGCCGAGAGCAATCATTCAGCACAACACCTCAACTTATGTTTTCCTATTGATATTATTCTCCATTACCTTCTTCAGAATGCGATGATACTGGAAATGTGATTGGCGGTGTATTTATTTAACGCTGCTTCTCCCAGAGCTCTAAGTAGCATAAGAACTACTGCAATCCTGGGCCCTCCCAGGGACAGGAGCGCTTGCAGAGATCCTCCCTCTGACGGGAGCTTTCCCAGGACCTGTGCCATGCGCTGTGGCACACCTAGAGGCTCTTCCAGGGACATTGGCACTCTCCCAGGAACCGCAGCGCCTGCAGGGGCTCTGCCAAGGGCAGTAGCGCTGGCCAGGACGCTCCCAGGGGTCCTCCCAGAGATGGCGGTGCCCCCATTGACTCTCCCAGCTACAGCAGCGCCTCAGGAGCCCTCCCAGGCACGGCGGCGCCAGAAGGGCCGTTTTGGGGGAGCCCTTGAGAGCGCCAATATCCACTGTCACTGGAAGAGTCCCCATGGGTGCCACAGCCCCTGGGAGAGCCCCTGCAAGCGCTCCTGTCCTTGGGAAGGTCCCTGCAAGCACTTCAGTCCTGGGAGAGAGGCCCTGATGGCTTCCACTGATTTAGGCTCTGGGGCTTCAATTACACATTTCAGTATCTTTCTGGAGAATAATATCAACAGGAAAACATAAGTTGGGGTGTTATGCTGAGTGACTGCTCTCTGCTCCTATTGGCTGTAATTTGGTGGGTTAAAAAATAGTCCACCAATCACAGTTAACCCACCAAATTAGAGCCAATAGGAGCAGAGAGCAGTCATTCAGCACAACACCTCAACTTATGTTTTCCTGTTGATATTATTCTCCATTACCTTGTTCAGAATGCAATGTTACTGGAAATGTGATGGGCGGTGGTGTATTTATTTAACGCTGCTTCTACCAGAGCTCTAATTAGCACAAAAACTACTGCAACCCTTGGCCCTCCTAGGGACGGGAGCTCTCCCAGGGCCTGTGCCATGGGCGGTGGCACCCCTAGAGGCTCTTCCAGGGACATTGGCACTCTCCCAGGAACAGCAGCGCCTGCAGGGGCCCTGCCAAGGACAGTAGCGCTGGTCAGGACGCTCCCAGGGGTCCTCCCAGAGATGGCGGTGCCCCCATTGACTCTCTCAGTGACAGCAGCGCCAGAGGGGCCCTCCCAGGGAATGCGGCGCCAGAAGGGCGGTTTTCGGTGGGCCCTTGAGAGTGCCAATATCCCTAGTAGAGCCTTTAGGATATGCTACCACCCCTGGCACCGCCCCTGGAAGCGTTCCCGTCGGTGGGTAGGATCCCTGGCAAGGTGCCTCGGAGGGTCCCTGAGGGCACTGCCTTCCCTAGAAGGCCCACTGGGAGCACTGCTGTCCCAGGGAGAACCCTTGGTGGCACCTGCGCCCCTCGTAAGGCCTCTGAGGGCCCCACCGTCTCTGGCAAAGCTCCAGGGGACGCCAACGCCCCTTGCAAAACCCCTGGGGGTGCTGACGTGCCTGGGAGGGGCCCTGGGCCACCGATGGCCCTGTGAGTGTCTCTTATTGCGCCACCGTCTCTGGCAAGGCCCCCGGGGACGCCAACGCCCCTTCCAGGACCCCTAAAAGCGATCACGTGCCTGGGAGGGCCCCTGGGCCACCGCTGGCACTGTGAGAGTCCCTGGTGGTGTCACCGCATCTGGCAAGGCCCCTGGGGGCACCAAGGCCCCTTGAAGGGCCCCTGGAGGCGCTGATGTCCCTCAAAGGACTCCTGAGACGCCACTGTCACTGGAAGAGTCCCCAAGAGTGCCACAGCCGCTGGGAGGGCCCCTGCAAGCCCTCACGTCCCTGGATAGGTGTCCTTGGCAAGGTGCCTGGAAGGGTCCCTGAGGGCGGTGCCTTCCATCGAAGGCCCCCTGGGAGCACTACTGTCCCAGGGAGAGCCCCTGGTGGCGCCAGCGACCCTGGTAAGGCCTCTGAGGGCCCCACCGTCTCTGGCAAGGCCCCAGTGGAAGCCAACGCCCCAAGGGACGCCAACGCCTCTTGCAGGAACCCTGGGGGTGCTGACATGCCTGGGAGGGCACCTGAGACACTGATGGCCCTATGAGTGTCACTGAGGGCCCCACCATCTCTGGCAAGGCCCCAGGGGACGCCAATGCCCTTTCCAGGACCCCTAAAGGCGCTCACATGCCTGGGAGGGCCCCTGGGCCACTGGTGGCACAGTGAGTGTCCCTGGTGGTGTTACCGCATCTGGCAAAGCCCCTGGGGGCGCCAAGGCCCCTTCAAGGGCCCCTGGAGGCGCCGATGTCCCTCAAAGGACTCCTGGTACGCCACTGTCACTGGAAGAGTTCCCAGGGGTGCCACAGTCCCTGGGAGGGCCCCTGCAAGCCCTCCCGTCCTTGGGAGGTTTCCTGCAAGCACTCTAGTCCCTGGGAGGGCCCCTGGTTGCAGTAGCTTTTGCACTATTTAGAGCTCTGGGAGAAGCAATTTTAAATAAATACACTGCCGCCCATCATATTTCCAGTATCTTTGCACTCTGAAGAAGGAAATGGAGAATAATATCAACAGGAAAACATAAGTTGAGGTGTTGTGCTGACTGTCTGTTCTCTGCTCCGATTGGCTGTAATTTGGTGGGTTAAAAAATAGTCCACCAATCACAGTTAACCCACCAAATTACAGCCAATAGGAGCCGAGAGCAATCATTCAGCACAACACCTCAACTTATGTTTTCCTATTGATATTATTCTCCATTACCTTCTTCAGAATACGATGATACTGGAAATGTGATTGGCGGTGTATTTATTTAACGCTGCTTCTCCCAGAGCTCTAAGTAGCATAAGAACTATTGCAATCCTGGGCCCTCCCAGGGACAGGAGCGCTTGCAGAGATCCTCCCTCTGACGGGAGCTTTCCCAGGACCTGTGCCATGCGCTGTGGCACCCCTAGAGGCTCTTCCAGGGACATTGGCACTCTCCCAGGAACCGCAGCGCCTGCAGGGGCTCTGCCAAGGGCAGTAGCGCTGGCCAGGACGCTCCCAGGGGTCCTCCCAGAGATGGCGGTGCCCCCATTGACTCTCCCAGTTACAGCAGCGCCTCAGGAGCCCTCCAAGGCACGGCGGCGCCAGAAGGGCCGTTTTGGGGGAGCCCTTGAGAGCGCCAATATCCACTGTCACTGGAAGAGTCCCCATGGGTGCCACAGCCCCTGGGAGAGCCCCTGCAAGCGCTCCTGTCCTTGGGAAGGTCCCTGCAAGCACTTCAGTCCCTGGAAGGGCCCCTGGTTGCAGTAGCTTTTCCACTATTTAGAGCTCTGGGAGAAGCAATTTTAAATAAATACACCGCCGCTCTTCACATTTCCAGTATCTTTGCATTCTGAAGAAGGTAATGGAGAATAATATCAACAGGAAAACATAAGTTGGGGTGTTATGCTGAGTGACTGCTCTCTGCTCCTATTGGCTGTAATTTGGTGGGTTAAAAAATAGTCCACCAATCACAGTTAACCCACCAAATTAGAGCCAATAGGAGCAGAGAGCAGTCATTCAGCACAACACCTCAACTTATGTTTTCCTGTTGATATTATTCTCCATTACCTTGTTCAGAATGCAATGTTACTGGAAATGTGATGGGCGGTGGTGTATTTATTTAACGCTGCTTCTACCAGAGCTCTAATTAGCACAAAAACTACTGCAACCCTTGGCCCTCCTAGGGACGGGAGCTCTCCCAGGGCCTGTGCCATGGGCGGTGGCACCCCTAGAGGCTCTTCCAGGGACATTGGCACTCTCCCAGGAACAGCAGCGCCTGCAGGGGCCCTGCCAAGGACAGTAGCGCTGGTCAGGACGCTCCCAGGGGTCCTCCCAGAGATGGCGGTGCCCCCATTGACTCTCTCAGTGACAGCAGCGCCAGAGGGGCCCTCCCAGGGAATGCGGCGCCAGAAGGGCGGTTTTCGGTGGGCCCTTGAGAGTGCCAATATCCCTAGTAGAGCCTTTAGGATATGCTACCACCCCTGGCACCGCCCCTGGAAGCGTTCCCGTCGGTGGGTAGGATCCCTGGCAAGGTGCCTCGGAGGGTCCCTGAGGGCACTGCCTTCCCTAGAAGGCCCACTGGGAGCACTGCTGTCCCAGGGAGAACCCTTGGTGGCACCTGCGCCCCTCGTAAGGCCTCTGAGGGCCCCACCGTCTCTGGCAAAGCTCCAGGGGACGCCAACGCCCCTTGCAAAACCCCTGGGGGTGCTGACGTGCCTGGGAGGGGCCCTGGGCCACCGATGGCCCTGTGAGTGTCTCTTATTGCGCCACCGTCTCTGGCAAGGCCCCCGGGGACGCCAACGCCCCTTCCAGGACCCCTAAAAGCGATCACGTGCCTGGGAGGGCCCCTGGGCCACCGCTGGCACTGTGAGAGTCCCTGGTGGTGTCACCGCATCTGGCAAGGCCCCTGGGGGCACCAAGGCCCCTTGAAGGGCCCCTGGAGGCGCTGATGTCCCTCAAAGGACTGCTGAGACGCCACTGTCACTGGAAGAGTCCCCAAGAGTGCCACAGCCGCTGGGAGGGCCCCTGCAAGCCCTCACGTCCCTGGATAGGTGTCCTTGGCAAGGTGCCTGGAAGGGTCCCTGAGGGCGGTGCCTTCCATCGAAGGCCCCCTGGGAGCACTACTGTCCCAGGGAGAGCCCCTGGTGGCGCCAGCGACCCTGGTAAGGCCTCTGAGGGCCCCACCGTCTCTGGCAAGGCCCCAGTGGAAGCCAACGCCCCAAGGGACGCCAACGCCTCTTGCAGGAACCCTGGGGGTGCTGACATGCCTGGGAGGGCACCTGAGACACTGATGGCCCTATGAGTGTCACTGAGGGCCCCACCATCTCTGGCAAGGCCCCAGGGGACGCCAATGCCCTTTCCAGGACCCCTAAAGGCGCTCACATGCCTGGGAGGGCCCCTGGGCCACTGGTGGCACAGTGAGTGTCCCTGGTGGTGTTACCGCATCTGGCAAAGCCCCTGGGGGCGCCAAGGCCCCTTCAAGGGCCCCTGGAGGCGCCGATGTCCCTCAAAGGACTCCTGGTACGCCACTGTCACTGGAAGAGTTCCCAGGGGTGCCACAGTCCCTGGGAGGGCCCCTGCAAGCCCTCCCGTCCTTGGGAGGTTTCTCAGCACCCCCAGTCTCTGGAGGCTCCCTGGTTGTAGAAGTGAGATTGTTTTAGAGCTCCTGGGAGAGGCAATTTCAGGTCCAGTATTCTGAAGAAGTTGCATGAACATGTTATATAGGGTTGACTGACTGCTCTCTGCTCCTATTGGCTGTAATTTGGTGGGTTAAAAAATAGTCCACCAATCACAGTTAACCCACCAAATTACAGCCAATAGGAGCAGAGAGCAATCATTCAGCACAACACCTCAACTTATGTTTTCCTGTTGATATTTTTCTCCATTTCCTTCTTCAGAATGGAAAGATACTGGAAAATGTGATGGGCGGCGGTGTATTTATTTAACGCTACTTCTCCCAGAGCTCTAAATAGCACAAAAACTACTGCAACCCTGGGCCCTCCTAGGGATGGGAGTGCTCTCAGAGGCTTTCCAAGGGACGGCGGCGCCCCCAGGGACTCTCCCAGGGAAATCGGCGACCAAGAGGCCCTCCCAATGACGTCGGCGCCCCCAGGGGCCTTGCAAAGGGTGGTGGCGCCCTCAGGGGCTTTGCCAGGGGCGCTGGCGTCCTCAGGGGATCTTCCTGGGGCAGACTCACTCCCAGGGACCCTTGCAGGGACGGCAGTGCCTCCATGGGCCTTGCCCGAGAAGTTAGATCCCACAGGGGCTCTCTCAAGGACATCGGCGCTCACAGGGGCCCTGCCAGGGTCTGAGGCGCCCCCAGGGGCTCTCTCAAGTACAGCGGCGCTCACTGGGGCCCTGCCAGGGTCGGAGGCGCCCGCAGGGGCTCTCCCAGGGACAACGGTGCTCCCAGGGGCCCTCTCAGGAGCGGTGGTACTCCCAGAGGCTATGTCATAGACATCAGAGCTTCCACGGAAAGCGCCGACCCCAGGGACCGTATCAAGAGTCTGCAGGGGCCCTATGGCATGCTTGTCCGTCGTATCATATATATTACATACTTCCAGCAGTCCCTTACTTAACTGTGATTGGTGGACTATTCTCTTAACCCGCAAAATTACAGCAAATAGGAGCAGGGAGGGTCCCTGCAAGCACTCCAGTCCCTGGGAGGGGCCCTGGTTGCAGTAGCTTTTGCACAATTTAGAGCTCTGAGAGAAGCAATTTTAAATAAATTCACCGCCCGCCCATCACATTTCCAGTATCTTTGCACTCTGAAGAAGGAAATGGAGAATAATATCAACAGGAAAACATAAGTTGGGGTGTTGTGCTGACTGACTACTCTCTGCTCCTATTGGCTGTAATTTGGTGGGTTAAAAAATAGTCCACCAATCACTTTTAACCCACCAAATTACAGCCAATAGGAGCAGAGAGCAGTTATTCAGCACAACACCTCAATTTATGTTTTCCTGTTGCTATTATTCTCTATTACCTTCTTCAGAATGCAAAGATACTGGAAATGTGAAGAGCGGCGGTGTATTTATTTAATGCTGCTTCTCCCAGAGCTCTAAGTAGCACAAAAACTACTGCAACCCTGTGCCGTCCCGGGGACGGGAGCGCTTGCAGGGATCCTCCCAGGGACGGGAGCTCTCCCAAGGCCTGTGCCATGGGCGGTGGCACCCCTAGAGGCTTTTCCAGGGACATTGCCGCTCTCCCAGGAACAGCAGCGCCTGCAGGGGCCCTGCCAAGTGCAGTAGCGCTGGCCAGGACGCTCCCAGGGGTCCTCCCAGAGATGGCGGTGCCCCCATTGACTCTCCCAGTGACAGCAGCGCCTCAGGAGCCCTCCCAGGGACGGCGGCGCCGGAAGGGCCGTTTTGGGTGGGCCCTTGAGAGCGCCAATATCCCTAGTAGAGCCTTTAGGATATTCTAACACCACCTGGCACAGGCCCTGGAAGCATTCCCGTCCCAGGGTATGGTCGCTGACAAGGTGCCTGGGAGGGTCCCTCACGGCGCTGCCGTCCCTAAAAGGCCCCCTGGGAGCACTGCTGTCCCAGGGAGAGCCCCTGGTGGCGCCAGCGCACCTGGTAAGGCCTCTGAGGGCCCCACCGTCTCTGGCAAGGCCCCAAGGGATGCCAACGCCCCTTGCAAAACCCGTGGGGCTGCTGACGAGCCTGGGAGGGCCCCTGAGCCACCGATGGCCCTTTGAATGTCCCTGATGGCGCCACCGCCTCTGGCAAGGCCCCAGGAGACGCCAACGCCCCTTCCAGGACTCCTAAGAACGCTGACGTGCCTGGGAGGGCCCCTGGGCCATTGCTGACCCTGTGAGTGTCCCTAGTGGTACCACCGCCTCTGGCAAGGCCCCTGGGAGCGCCATCGTCCCTTAAAGGGCCCCTGGAGGCACCGATGTCCCTCAGAGGAATCCTGGGACGCCACTGTCACTGGAAGAGTCCCCAGGGGTGCCACAGCCCCTGTGACGGCCCCTGGAAGCGCTCCCGTCCTTGGGAGGGTCCCTGCAAGCACTTCAGTCCCTGGGAGCGCCCCTGGTTGCAGTAGCTTTTGCACTATTTAGAGCTCTAGCTTTTGCACTATTTAGAGCTCTGGGAGAAGCAATTTTAAATAAATACACTACCGCCCATCACATTTCCAGTATCTTTGCATTCTGAAGAAGGTAATGGAGAATAATATCAACAGGAAAACATAAGTTGGGGTGTTGTGCTGACTGACTGCTCTCTGCTCCTATTGGCTGTAATTTGGTAGGTTAAAAAATAACCCACCAATCACAGTTAACCCACCAAATTACAGCCAATAGGAGGAGCAGAGAGCAGTCATTCAGCTCAACACCTCAACTTATGTTTTCCTGTTGATATTATTCTCCATTACCTTCTTCAGAATGCAAAGATACTGGAAATGTGATGGGCGGCGGTGTATTTATTTAACGCTTCTTCTCCCAGATCTCTAAGTAGCACAAAAACTACTGCAAGCCTGGGCCCTCCGAGAGACGGGAGCGCTTGCAGGAATCCTCCCAGGGACGATAGCTCTCCCAGGGCCTGTGCCATGGGTGGTGGCACCCATGGAGGCTCTTCCAGGGACATTGGCACTCTCCCAAGAACAGCATCGCCTGCAGGGGCCTTGCCAAGGGCAGTAGCGCTGGCCAGGACGCTCCCAGGGGTCTTCCCAGAGATGGCGGCGCCCCCATTGACTCTCTCAGTGACAGCAGCGCCCCAGGGGCCCTCCCAGGGACGGCGGCGCCAGAAGGGCCGTTTTGGGAGGGCCCTTGAGAGCGCCAATATCACTAGTGGAGCCTTTAGGATATGCTACCACCCCTGGCACAGCCCCTGGAAGCGCTCCCGTCCCTGGGTAGGGTCCCTGGCAAGGTGCCTGGGAGGGTCCCTGAGGGCGCTGCCTCCCCTAGAAGGCCAGCTGGGAGCACTGCTCTCCCAGGGAGATCCCTTGGTGGCGCCAGCGCCCCTCGTAAGGCCTCTGAGGGCCCCACCGTCTCTGGCAAAGCTCCAGGGGACGCCAACGCCCCTTCCAGAACCCCTGGGGGTGCTGACGTGCCTGGGAGGGCCCCTGGGCCACCGATGGCCCTGTGAGAGTCCCTGATTATGCCACCGCCCCTGCCAAGTCCCCAAAGAACGCCAACGCCCCTTCCAGGACCCCTAAAGGCGCTCACGTGCCTGGGAGGGCCCCTGGGCCACTGCTGGCCCAGTGAGTGTCCCTGGTGGTGTCACCACATCTGGCAAAGTCCCTGGGGGCGCCAAGGCCCCTTGAAGGGCCCCTGGAGGCGCCGATGTCCCTCAAAGGACTCCTGGTACGCCACTGTCACTGGAAGAGTCCCCAAGGGTGCCACAGTCCCTGGGAGGGCCCCTGCAAGCCCTCCCGTCCTTGGGAGGGTTCCTGCAAGCACTCCATTCCCTGGGAGGGCCCCTGGTTGCAGTAGCTTTTGCACTATTTAGAGCTCTGGGAGAAGCAATTTTAAATAAATACACCGCCGCCCATCACATTTTCCAGTATCTTTGCATTCTGAAGAAGGTAATGGAGAAAAATATCAACAGGAAAACATAAGTTGGGGTGTTGTGCTGACTGACTGCTCTCTGCTCCTATTGGCTGTAATTTGGTAGGTTAAAAAATAGTCCACCAATCACAGTTAACCCACGAAATTACAGCCAATAGGAGCAGAGCGGGCAGTCAATGAGCACAACACCTCAACTTATGTTATCCTGTTGATATTTTTCTCCATTACCTTCTTCAGAATGCAAAGATACTGGAAAATGTGATGGGCGGCGGTGTATTTATTTAACGCTGCGTCTCCCAGAGCTCTAAATAGCACAAAAACTACTGCATCCCTGAGCCATCCTAGGGATGGGAGTGCTCTCAGAGGCTCTCCAAGGGACGGCGGCGCCCCCAGGGACACTCCCAGGGAAATTGGCGCCCAAGAGGCCCTCCCAATGACGTCGGCGCCCCCAGGGGCCATGGAAAGGGTGGTTGCGCCCTCAGGGGCCTTGCCAGAAGCGGTGGCGCCCACAGCGGCTTTGCCAGGGGCGCTGGCGTCCTCAGGGGATCTTCCTGGTGCAGACTCACCCCCAGGGACCCTTGCAGGGACGGCAGTGCCTCCATGGGCCTTGCCCGAGAAGTTAGCGCCCCCAGGGGCTCTCTCAAGAACATCGGCGCTCACAGGGGCCCTGCCAGGGTCGGAGGCACCCCCAGGGGCTCTCTCAAAGACATCGGCGCTCTCTGGGGCCCTGCCAGGGACAGTGGTTTACCGGGGGCCCTGCCAGGTTCGGAGGCGTCCACAGGGGCTCTCCCAGGGACAACGGTGCTCCCAGGGGCCCTCTCAGGAGCGGTGGTGTCCCCAGAGGCTAGGTCATAGACATCAGAGCTTCCACGGAAAGCGCCGACCCCAGCGACCGTACCAAGGGTCTGCAGGGGCCATATGGCATGCTTGTCCGTCGTATCATATATATTACATACTTCCAGCAGTCCCTTACTTAACTGTGATTGGTGGACTATTCTCTTAACCCACCAAATTACAGCCAATAGAGCAGGGAAGGTCCCTCCAAGCACTTCAGTCCCTGGGAGGGCCCCTGGTTGCAGTAGCTTTTCCACTATTTAGAGCTCTGGGAGAAGCAATTTTAAATAAATACACCGCCGCTCATCACATTTCCAGTATCTTTGCATTCTGAAGAAGGTAATGGAGAATAATATCAACAGGAAAACATAAGTTGGGGTGTTATGCTGAGTGACTGCTCTCTGCTCCTATTGGCTGTAATTTGGTGGGTTAAAAAATAGTCCACCAATCACAGTTAACCCACCAAATTGGAGCCAATAGGAGCAGAGAGCAGTCATTCAGCACAACACCTCAACTTATGTTTTCCTGTTGATATTATTCTCCATTACCTTCTTCAGAATGCAAAGATACTGGAAATGTGATGAGCGACGGTGTATTTATTTAACGCTGCTTCTACCAGAGCTCTAAATATCACAAAAACTACTGCAACCCTGGGCCCTCCTAGGGATGGGAGTGCTCTCAGAGGCTTTCCAAGGGACTGCGGCGCCCCCAGGGACTCTCCCAGGGAAATCGGCGCCCACAGGCCCTCCCAATGACGTCGCCGCCCCCAGGGGCCTTGCAAAGGGTGGTGGCGCCCTCAGGGGCTTTGCCAGGGGCGCTGGCGTCCTCAGGGGATCTTCCTGGGGCAGACTCACTCCCAAAGACCCTTGCAGGGACGGCAGTGCCTCCATGGGCCTTGCCCGAGAAGTTAGATCCCCCAGGGGCTCTCTCAAGGACATCGGCGCTCACTGGGGCACTGCCAGGGTCGGAGGCTCCCACAGGGGCTCTCCCAGGGACAACGGTGCTCCCAGGGGCCCTCTCAGGAGCGGTGGTGTTCCCAGAGGCTATGTCATAGACATCAGAGCTTCCACGGAAAGCGCCGACCCCAGGGACCGTATCAAGGGTCTGCAGGGGCCCTATGGCATGCTTGTCCGTCGTATCATATATATTACATACTTCCAGCAGTCCCTTACTTAACTGTGATTGGTGGACTATTCTCTTAACCCGCCAAATTACAGCAAATAGGAGCAGGGAGGGTCCCTGCAATCACTCCAGTCCCTGGGAGGGGCCCTGGTTGCAGTAGCTTTTGCACTATTTAGAGCTCTGAGAGAAGCAATTTTAAATAAATTCACCGCCGCCCATCACATTTCCAGTATCTTTGCACTCTGAAGAAGGAAATGGAGAATAATATCAACAGGAAAACATAAGTTGGGGTGTTGTGCTGACTGACTACTCTCTGCTCCTATTGGCTGTAATTTGGTGGGTTAAAAAATAGTCCACCAATCACTTTTAACCCACCAAATTACAGCCAATAGGAGCAGAGAGCAGTTATTCAGCGTACCTCAACATTTTGTACCTTCAAAATGTGATAAAAGCAGCAGTATTAACACTACTTCTCCCAGAGCTCTAAGTAGCACAAAAACTACTGCAACCCTGTGCCGTCCCGGGGACGGGAGCGCTTGCAGGGATCCTCCCAGGGACGGGAGCTCTCCCAAGGCCTGTGCCATGGGCGGTGGCACCCCTAGAGGCTTTTCCAGGGACATTGCCGCTCTCCCAGGAACAGCAGCGCCTGCAGGGGCCCTGCCAAGTGCAGTAGCGCTGGCCAGGACGCTCCCAGGGGTCCTCCCAGAGATGGCGGTGCCCCCATTGACTCTCCCAGTGACAGCAGCGCCTCAGGAGCCCTCCCAGGGACGGCGGCGCCGGAAGGGCCGTTTTGGGTGGGCCCTTGAGAGCGCCAATATCCCTAGTAGAGCCTTTAGGATATTCTAACACCACCTGGCACAGGCCCTGGAAGCATTCCCGTCCCAGGGTATGGTCGCTGACAAGGTGCCTGGGAGGGTCCCTCACGGCGCTGCCGTCCCTAAAAGGCCCCCTGGGAGCACTGCTGTCCCAGGGAGAGCCCCTGGTGGCGCCAGCGCACCTGGTAAGGCCTCTGAGGGCCCCACCGTCTCTGGCAAGGCCCCAAGGGATGCCAACGCCCCTTGCAAAACCCGTGGGGCTGCTGACGAGCCTGGGAGGGCCCCTGAGCCACCGATGGCCCTTTGAATGTCCCTGATGGCGCCACCGCCTCTGGCAAGGCCCCAGGAGACGCCAACGCCCCTTCCAGGACTCCTAAGAACGCTGACGTGCCTGGGAGGGCCCCTGGGCCATTGCTGACCCTGTGAGTGTCCCTAGTGGTACCACCGCCTCTGGCAAGGCCCCTGGGAGCGCCATCGTCCCTTAAAGGGCCCCTGGAGGCACCGATGTCCCTCAGAGGAATCCTGGGACGCCACTGTCACTGGAAGAGTCCCCAGGGGTGCCACAGCCCCTGTGACGGCCCCTGGAAGCGCTCCCGTCCTTGGGAGGGTCCCTGCAAGCACTTCAGTCCCTGGGAGCGCCCCTGGTTGCAGTAGCTTTTGCACTATTTAGAGCTCTAGCTTTTGCACTATTTAGAGCTCTGGGAGAAGCAATTTTAAATAAATACACTACCGCCCATCACATTTCCAGTATCTTTGCATTCTGAAGAAGGTAATGGAGAATAATATCAACAGGAAAACATAAGTTGGGGTGTTGTGCTGACTGACTGCTCTCTGCTCCTATTGGCTGTAATTTGGTAGGTTAAAAAATAACCCACCAATCACAGTTAACCCACCAAATTACAGCCAATAGGAGCAGAGAGCAGTCATTCAGCACAACACCTCAACTTATGTTTTCCTGTTGATATTATTCTCCATTACGTTCTTCAGAATGCAAAGATACTGGAAATGTGATGGGCGGCGGTGTATTTATTTAACGCTTCTTCTCCCAGATCTCTAAGTAGCACAAAAACTACTGCAAGCCTGGGCCCTCCGAGAGACGGGAGCGCTTGCAGGGATCCTCCCAGGGACGATAGCTCTCCCAGGGCCTGTGCCATGGGTGGTGGCACCCATGGAGGCTCTTCCAGGGACATTGGCACTCTCCCAGGAACAGCATCGCCTGCAGGGGCCTTGCCAAGGGCAGTAGCGCTGGCCAGGACGCTCCCAGGGGTCTTCCCAGAGATGGCGGCGCCCCCATTGACTCTCTCAGTGACAGCAGCGCCCCAGGGGCCCTCCCAGGGACGGCGGCGCCAGAAGGGCCGTTTTGGGAGGGCCCTTGAGAGCGCCAATATCACTAGTGGAGCCTTTAGGATATGCTACCACCCCTGGCACAGCCCCTGGAAGCGCTCCCGTCCCTGGGTAGGGTCCCTGGCAAGGTGCCTGGGAGGGTCCCTGAGGGCGCTGCCTCCCCTAGAAGGCCAGCTGGGAGCACTGCTCTCCCAGGGAGATCCCTTGGTGGCGCCAGCGCCCCTCGTAAGGCCTCTGAGGGCCCCACCGTCTCTGGCAAAGCTCCAGGGGACGCCAACGCCCCTTCCAGAACCCCTGGGGGTGCTGACGTGCCTGGGAGGGCCCCTGGGCCACCGATGGCCCTGTGAGTGTCCCTGATTGTGCCACCGCCCCTGCCAAGTCCCCAAAAAACGCCAACGCCCCTTCCAGGACCCCTAAAGGCGCTCACGTGCCTGGGAGGGCCCCTGGGCCACTGCTGGCCCAGTGAGTGTCCCTGGTGGTGTCACCACATCTGGCAAAGTCCCTGGGGGCGCCAAGGGTCCTTGAAGGGCCCCTGGAGGCGCCAATGTCCCTCAAAGGACTCCTGGTACGCCACTGTCACTGGAAGAGTCCCCAAGGGTGCCACAGTCCCTGGGAGGGCCCCTGCAAGCCCTCCCGTCCTTGGGAGGGTTCCTGCAAGCACTCCATTCCCTGGGAGGGCCCCTGGTTGCAGTAGCTTTTGCACTATTTAGAGCTCTTGGAGAAGCAATTTTAATATTGCTGCCCATCACATTTCAGGCTTCCAGAGCCTGAATATCAGGAGTTGGGGTGTTGTGCTGACTGACTGCTCTCTGCTCCTATTGGCTGTAATTTGGTAGGTTAAAAACTAGTCCACCAATCACAGTTAACCCACCAAATTACAGCCAATAGGAGCAGAGCGGGCAGTCAATGAGCACAACACCTCAACTTATGTTATCCTGTTGAGAATGCAAAGATACTGGAAAATGTGATGGGCGGCGGTGTATTTATTTAACGCTGCGTCTCCCAGAGCTCTAAATAGCACAAAAACTACTGCATCCCTGGGCCATCCTAGGAATGGGAGTGCTCTCAGAGGCTCTCCAAGGGACGGCGGCGCCCCCAGGGACACTCCCAAGGAAATTGGCGCCCAAGAGGCCCTCCCAATGACGTCGGCGCCCCCAGGGGCCATGGAAAGGGTGGTTGCGCCCTCAGGGGCCTTGCCAGAAGCGGTGGCGCCCACAGCGGCTTTGCCAGGGGCGCTGGCGTACTCAGGGGATCTTCCTGGTGCAGACTCACCCCCAGGGACCCTTGCAGGGACGACAGTGCCTCCATGGGCCTTGCCCGAGAAGTTAGCGCCCCCAGGGGCTCTCTCAAGGACATCGGCGCTCACAGGGGCCCTGCCAGGGTCGGAGGCACACCCAGGGGCTCTCTCAAAGACATCGGCGCTCTCTGGGGCCCTGCCAGGGACAGTGGTTTACCGGGGGCCCTGCCAGATTCGGAGGCGTCCACAGGGGCTCTCCCAGGGACAACAGTGCTCCCAGGGGCCCTCTCAGGAGCGGTGGTGTCCCCAGAGGCTATGTCATAGACATCAGAGCTTCCACAGAAAGCGCCGACCCCAACGACCGTACCAAGGGTCTGCAGGGGCCATATGGCATGCTTGTCCGTCGTATCATATATATTACATACTTCCAGCAGTCCCTTACTTAACTGTGATTGGTGGACTATTCTCTTAACCCACCAAATTACAGCCAATAGGAGCAGGGAGGGTCCCTGCAAGCACTCCAGTCCCTGGGAGGGGCCCTGGTTGCAGTAGCTTTTGCACTATTTAGAGCTCTGGGAGAAGCAATTTTAAATAAATACACAGCCTCCCATCACATTTCCAGTATCTTTCCATTCTGAAGAAGGAAATGGAGAATAATATCAACAGGAAAACATAAGTTGGGGTGTTGTGCTGACTGACTGCTCTCTGCTCCTATTGGCTGCAATTTGGTGGGTTAAAAAATAGTCCACCAATCACAGTTAACTCACCAAATTACAGCTAATAGGAGCAGAGAGCAGTCAGTCAGCACAACACCTCAACTTATGTTTTTCTGTTGATATTATTCTCCATTCCCTTCTTCAGAATGCGATGATACTGGAAATGTGATGGTCGGTGGTGTATTTTAACGCTGCTTCTCCCAGAGCTCTAAGTAGCACAAAAACTACTGCAACCCTTGGCCCTCCAAGGGACGGGAGCGCTTGCAGGGATCCTCCTAGGGACGGGAGCTCTCCCAGGGCCTGTGCCATGGGCGGTGGCACCCCTAGAGGCTCTTCCAGAGACATTAGCACTCTCCCAGGAACAGCAGCGCCTGCAGGGGCCCTGCCAAGGACAGTAGCGCTGGCCAGGACGCTCCCAGGCGCCTCCCAGAGATGGCGGTGCCCTCATTGACTCTCCCAGTGACAGCAGCGCACCGGGAGCCCTCCCAGGGACGGCAGCACCAGAAGGGCCGTTTTGGGAGGGCCCTTGAGAGTGCCAATATCACTAGTAGAGCCTTTAGGATAAGCTACCACCCCTGGCACAGCCCCTGGAAGCGTTCCCGTCCCTGGGTACAGTCCCTGGCAAGGTTCCTAGGAGGGTCCCTGAGGGCGCTGCCGTCCCTAGAAGGCCACCTGGGAGCACTGCTGTCCCAGGGAGAGCCCCTGGAGGCGCCAGCGCCCCTTGTAAGGCCTCTGAGGGCCCCTCCGTCTCTGGCAAGGCTCCAGGGGCGCCAACGCCCCTTCCAGGACCCCTAAAGATGCTGACGTGCCTGGGAGGGCCCCTGGGCCACCGCTGGCCCTATGAGTGTCCCTGGTGGCGCCACCGCTTCTGGCAAAGCCCCTGGGAGCGCCACCGCCCCTTGAAGGGCCCCTGTAGGCGCCTATGTCCCTCAGAGGACTCCTGGGATGCCACTGTCACTGGAAGAGTCCCCAGGGGTGCCACAGCCCCTGGGAGGGCCCCTGCAAGCGCTCCCGTCCTTGGGAGGGTCCCTGCAAGCACTTCAGTCCCTGGGAGGGCCCCTGGTTGCAGTAGCTTTTGCATCTATTTAGAGCTCTGGGAGAAGCAATTTTAAATAAATACACTGCCGCCCATCACATTTCCAGTATCTTTACATTCTGAAGAAGGTAATAGAGAATAATATCAACAGGAAAACATAAGTTGGGGTGTTGTGCTGAATGACTGCTCTCTGCTCCTATTGGCTGTAATTTGGTGGGTTAAAAAATAGTCCACCAATCACAGTTAACCCACCATATTACAGCCATTAGGAGCAGAGAGCAGTCATTCAGCACAACCTATCTCCATCAGAATATGATAAAATGTGATGATCTAAGTAAAAAACTGCAACCCTGGGCCCTCCCAGAGACGGGAGCGCTTGCAGGGATCCTCCCAGGGACGGGAGCTCTCCCAGGGCCTGTGCCATGGGTGTTGGCACCCCTGGAGGCTCTTCCAGTGACATTGGCACTCTCCCAGGAACAGCCTCGCCTGCAGGGGCCTTGCCAAGGGCAGTAGCGCTGGCCAGGACGCTCCCAGGGGTCCTCCCAGAGATGGCGGCGCCCCCATTGACTCTCCCAGTGACAGCAGCGCCCCAGGGGCCCTCCCAGGGACGGCGGCGCCAGAAGGGCCGTTTTGGGAGGGCCCTTGAGAGCGCCAATATCACTAGAAGAGCCTTTAGGATATGCTACCACCCCTGGCACAGCCCCTGGAAGCGTTCCCATCCGTGGGTAGGGTCCCTGGCAAGGTGCCTGGGAGGGTCCCTGAGGGCGCTGCCTTCCCTAGAAGGCCCCCTGGGAGCACTGCTCTCCCAGGGAGATCCCTTGGTGGCGCCAGCGCCCCTTGTAAGGCCTCTGAGGGCCCCACCGTCTCTGGCAAAGCTCCAAGGGACGCCAACGCCCCTTCCAGAACCCCTGGGGGTGCTGACGTGCCTGGGAGGGCCCCTGGGCCACCGATGGCCCTGTGAGTGTCCCTGATTGTGCCACCGCCCCTGGCAAGTCCCCAAAGGACGCCAACGCCCCTTCCAGGACCCCTAAAGGCGCTCAAGTGCCTGGGAGGGCCCCTAGGCCACTGCTGGCCCAGTGAGTGTCCCTGGTGGTGTTACCACATATGGCAAAGTCCCTGGGGGCGCCAAGGCCCCTTGAAGGGCCCCTGGAGGCGCCGATGTCCCTCAAAGGACTCCTGGTACGCCACTGTCACTGGAAGAGTCCCCAGGGGTGCCACAGTCCCTGGGAGGGCCCCTGCAAGCCCTCCCGTCCTTGGGAGGGTTCCTGCAAGCACTCCAGTCCCTGGGAGGGCCCCTGGTTGCAGTAGCTTTTGCACTATTTAGAGCTCTGGAAGAAGCAATTTTAAATAAATACACAGCCGCCCATCACATTTTCCAGTATCTTTGCATTCTGAAGAAGGTAATGGAGAAAAATATCAACAGGAAAACCTAAGTTGGGGTGTTGTGCTGACTGACTGCTCTCTGCTCCTATTGGCTGTAATTTGGTGGGTTAAAAAATAGTCCACCAATCACAGTTAACCCACCAAATTACAGCCAATAGGAGCAGAGCGGGCAGTCAATCAGCACAACACCTCAACTTATGTTATCCTGTTGATATTTTTCTCCATTACCTTCTTCAGAATGCAAAGATACTGGAAAATGTGATGGGCGGCGGTGTATTTATTTAACGCTGCGTCTCCCAGAGCTCTAAATAGCACAGAAACTACTGCATCCCTGGGCCATCCTAGGGATGGGAGTGCTCTCAGAGGCTCTCCAAGGGACGGCGGCGCCCCCAGGGACACTCCCAGGGAAATTGGCGCCCAAGAGGCAATCCCAGTGACGTCGGCGCCCCCAGGGGCCATGGAAAGGGTGGTGGCGCCCTCAGGGGCCTTGCCAGAAGCGGTGGCGCCCACAGCGGCTTTGCAAGGGGCGTTGGCGTCCTCAGGGGATCTTCCTGGTGCAGACTCACCCCCAGGGACCCTTGCAGGGACGGCAGTGCCTCCATGGGCCTTGCCCGAGAAGTTAGCGCCCCCAGGGGCTCTCTCAAGGACATCGGCGCTCACAGGGGCCCTGCCAGGGTCGGAGGCACCCCCAGGGGCTCTCTCAAAGACATCGGCGCTCTCTGGGGCCCTGCCAGGGACAGTGGTTTACCGGGGGCCCTGCCAGATTCGGAGGCGTCCACAGGGGCTCTCCCAGGGACAACGGTGCTCCCAGGGGCCCTCTCAGGAGCGGTGGTGTCCCCAGAGGCTATGTCATAGACATCAGAGCTTCCACAGAAAGCGCCGACCCCAACGACCGTACCAAGGGTCTGCAGGGGCCATATGGCATGCTTGTCCGTCGTATCATATATATTACATACTTCCAGCAGTCCCTTACTTAACTGTGATTGGTGGACTATTCTCTTAACCCACCAAATTACAGCCAATAGGAGCAGGGAGGGTCCCTGCAAGCACTCCAGTCCCTGGGAGGGGCCCTGGTTGCAGTAGCTTTTGCACTATTTAGAGCTCTGGGAGAAGCAATTTTAAATAAATACACAGCCTCCCATCACATTTCCAGTATCTTTCCATTCTGAAGAAGGAAATGGAGAATAATATCAACAGGAAAACATAAGTTGGGGTGTTGTGCTGACTGACTGCTCTCTGCTCCTATTGGCTGCAATTTGGTGGGTTAAAAAATAGTCCACCAATCACAGTTAACCCACCAAATTACAGCTAATAGGAGCAGAGAGCAGTCAGTCAGCACAACACCTCAACTTATGTTTTTCTGTTGATATTATTCTCCATTCCCTTCTTCAGAATGCGATGATACTGGAAATGTGATGGGCGGTGGTGTATTTTAACGCTGCTTCTCCCAGAGCTCTAAGTAGCACAAAAACTACTGCAACCCTTGGCCCTCCTAGGGACGGGACCGCTTGCAGGGATCCTCCTAGGGACAGGAGCTCTCCCAGGGCCTGTGCCATGGGCGGTGGCACCCCTAGAGGCTCTTCCAGAGACATTAGCACTCTCCCAGGAACAGCAGCGCCTGCAGGGGCCCTGCCAAGGACAGTAGCGCTGGCCAGGACGCTCCCAGGGGTCCTCCCAGAGATGGCGGTGCCCCCATTGACTCTCCCAGTGACAGCAGCGCCCCAGGGACCCTCCCAGGGACGGCAGCGCCAGAAGGGTCGTTTTGGGGGGGGGGGGCTTTGAGAGCGCCAATATCCCTAGTAGATCCTTTAGGATATGCTACCACCCCTGGCACATCCCCTGGAAGCGTTCCCGTCCCTGGGTAGGGTCCCTGGCAAGGTGCCTGGGAGGCTCCCGGAGGGCACTGCCGATCCTATAAGGCCCCCTGGGAGCACTGCTGTCCCAGGGAGATACCCTTGTGGCGCCAGCGCCCCTGATAAGGCCTCTGAGGGCCCCACCGTCTCTGGCAAGGCCCCAGGGGACGCCAACGCCCCTTGCAGAACCCCTGGTGGTGCTGACGTGCCTGAGAGGGCCCCTGAGCCACCGATGGCCCTGTGAGTGTCCCTGAGGGCACCACCGTCTCTGGCAAGGCCCCAGGGGACGCCAACACCCCTTCCAGGACCCCTAAAGGCGCTCACGTGCCTGGGAGGGCCCCTGGGCCACTGCTGGCCCAGTGAGTGTCCCTGGTGGTGTCACCACATCTGGCAAAGTCCCTGGGGGCGCCAAGGCCCCTTGAAGGGCCCCTGTAGGCGCCTATGTCCCTCAGAGGACTCCTGGAATGCCACTGTCACTGGAAGAGTCCCCAGGGGTACCACATCCCATGGGAGGGCCCCTGCAAGCGCTCCCGTCCTTGGAAGGGTCCCTGCAAGCACTCCAGTCCCTCGGAGGGCCCCTGGTTGCATTAGGTTTTGCACTATTTAGAGCTCTGGGAGAAGCAATTTTAAATAAATACACCGCCGCCCATCACATTTCCAGTATCTTTGCATTCTGAAGAAGGTAATGGAGAATAATATCAACAGGAAAACATAAGTTGGGGTGTTGTGCTGACTGACTGCTCGCTGCTCCTATTGGCTGCAATTTGGTGGGTTGCAGAATAGTCCACCAATCACAGTTAAGTAAGGGACTGCTGGAAGTATGTATTATTTATATGACACTATGGACAAGCTTGTCATAGGGCTCCTGGGGACCCTTGGTACGATCCCTGGGGTCGGCGCTTCCCCTGGGAGCTCCGCTGTCCGTGACATGGCCCCAGTGGACTCCACTGCTCCTGAGAGGGTCTCTGGGAGCGCTGCTGTCCCAGGGAGAGCCCCGGGAAGCGCCGCCGTCCCTGGCAGGGTTCCTGGGAGCATTGCTGTCTCTGGGAGGGGTCCTGTGAGTGCCGATGACCCTCAGAGAGCCCCTGGGGGCGCCAGTGCCCCTAGCAGGGCCCTTAGGTGTGCCAGCGCCCCTGGCAGGGCACTTGCATTCGCCAACGCCTCTGGCAGGGCTCGTGGAGGCGCTTCCGTCCCTGAGAGGACCGCTGTGTCTCAAGGGCCCCTGGGGGCGCCGCTGTCCCTGGGAGCATCGCTGTCGCTGGGAGAATCCCTGGGAGCGCCACTGCCCCTGGCAAGGTGCCTGCGAGTGCCAGTGTTTGTGATAGGGCCCCTGAGGGCGCTGCTGTCCCTAGAAGGAACCCTTGGAGCACCGCTGTCCATGGGAGAGCCCCTGGTGGCGCCAGAGCCCCTGGCAAGGCCTCTGAGGGCCCCACCATCTCTGGCAAGGCCCCAGGGGACGCCAATGCCCCTTGCAGGACCCCTGGGGTGCTGACGTGCCTGGAGGGCCCCTGGGCCACCGCTTGCCCTGTTAGTGTTCCTGATGGTGCCACCACCCCTTGAAGGGCACCTGGAGGCGTCGATGTCCCTCAGAGGACTCCTGGGACGCCGCTGTCACTGGAAGAGCCCTCACGGTGCCACAGCACCTAGGAGGGTCCCTGCAAGCACTCCCGTCTTTGGGAAGGCCCCTGGTTACAGTAGCTTTTGCACTATTTAGAGCTCTGGGAGAAGCAACTTTAAATAAATACACCACCGCCCATCACATTTCCAGTATCATCGCATTCTGTAGAAGGTAATGGAGAATAATATCCAACAGGATAATATAAGTTGAGGTGTTGTCCTGACTGACTGCTCTCTGCTCCTATTGGCTGCAATTTGGTGGGTTCAAAGAATAGTCCACCAATCAAAGTTAAGCAAGGGACTGCTTGAAATATGTAATATATATGACACGACAGACAAGCATGCCATAGGGTCCCTGGAAGCTTTGCTGTCGCTGGCATAGCTCCTGGGGGTGCCACCGCCAACGAGACCACCACAGTCCCTGGCAGGACCCATGGGTGCACCGATGTCACTGGGGGCGTCGCTGTCCATGGGAGGGCCCTTTGGAGCACCACCACCCTTGGAAGGGCCCTAGGGGGCGCCGCTGCCCCTAAAGAGAGCCCCTGGGTAGTGACACCCTATTAAGCCTTCCCAGAGTCGGCGGCAAAACCTGGGGTCCTCCCAGGAGCGACGGCGCCCTCCTTAGTGGCTACAGCGCCCCCAGGGGCTCTCCTAAGGGGCAGCACCGCAGGGGTTTCCTAGAAGTGGGGGCGCTTACAGGGGCCCACCCAGGGGTAGTGTCGTCCCCAGGGGCCCTCTCGGGTGCACTCCCAGGGGCGGTGGTGCCCCAAGAGGCCTTTACAGGGACAGTGGCGCCCTCAGGGGCCCTCCTAGGGGCGGTGGTATTCACAGTGTTACTCCCAAAGGCGGTGGAGCCCCCAGGGGACTTCCCGATGGCGCCTTCAGGGGCGACGGCGCCCCCAGGGGCCTTCCCAGTGGCGCCCAAAAGGACGTCTGAGACCCCAGGGTCCTTCCCAGTGGCGCCCAAAAGGGCATCTGAGACCCCAGGGTCCCTTCCATGAGCGGTGGTGTCCCCAGGAGCAGTGGCGCCCCATGGGGCCCTCAGAGGGGCCCTTCCAGGTGCGGTAGCATTCCCAGGAGCCTTGCCAGGGGCTCTCCTTGAGGACAGCGGCACCCCCAGGTGCCCTGCCAGGAGCGGTGGCGCCCTCAGGGGATCTTACAGGGGCAGTGCCTGCCTCCCACCCACAACTGGGGCTCTCCATAGAGGCAGAGCTCTCCCCCCCAGGCAACGGTCCCTCAGGGGACTTCCCAGGGGCAGCGGCGTCCCCACATGACCTGCCAGAAGTGATGGCGCTCCTAAGGGTCCTCCCAAGGGCGACGGCGCTCACAGGAGACCACCCAGAGGCGGCTACGCCCCCAGGGACCCTGCCAGGGGAGATAGTACCCCCAGGGGCAGTGGCACCCTCAGGAGACCTCCAAGCGGCTGTGGTGCTCTCAGGGGACAACCCAGGGGCCCTCCTTAGGGACAGCGGCGTCCCCAGGGGCCCTACTATGAACAGTGGCGCCCCCAGGGGCGGTGTCGTCCAGAGGGGCCCTGCCAAGGGCGGCGGCACCCTCAGTGGCCCTGTCAGAAGCGGTGGCGCTCCCAGAGGCGAGGATGCTCTCAGTGGCAACGGCTCCAGCAGGGTTACCGTCTCTGGGCAGGCTCCTGCGGGCACTACCGTCCTTAAGAGGGCCCCAGGGGGGTCCGCCGCCTATGTGAGCACCACTGTCCCTGGCAGGGCCCCTGGAGGCACCATAGTCTCTGGGAGGGCCCCTAAGGACGTCGTTGCTCCTGGGGTCTCCACTGCCCCTAGGGACGTCGCTGATCAAGTTGGGCCCTTGAGATGCCGCTGCCCCTGAAAGGGCTCCTGGGGGTGCCACAGCCTCTGGAGGCCCCATCGCCCCTGGGAGGTCCCTTGGGGGTGCCACTGCTCATGAGAGGGGCCCCTGGGAATGCCGCTGCCCCTAAGGAGGGCCGTCACTCCTGGAGGCATCACCACCCCTCAGTTAATACCCCAGACTCATTACACACACTCACTATACACTCTCAGTACACACCACACACACTCAGTACACACCACACACCTAACACACTCATTACACACCACACACCTAACTCACTCATTACACACCACACACCTAACACACTCATTACACACCACACACACTCAGTACACACCACACACCTAACACACACTGCACAGTCACTACACACTACACTCACTACACAGCACACACTTCACACCACACTCACTACACACCACACAGTCACTACACACCACACTCACTTCACAGCACACACTTCACACCACACCACACTCACTACACGCCACGCCACACTCCCACTACACCAAAAGTTTGTAAGCATAAAAGACTACTGTTTGAACATCAGTAATGGTAATAATGAAGTATACATTCCATGGAAACAGAGCAGTTTGGGAAGCAATGTTGTACAGTTCTAATAGTGATGCATTCCAAACAGCTCTATTTCTTACATAAAAGTGCCTCATTTGGGTACTGGTAATAGCACTAACAATGATATTGCAAATATGAAAATATATACTACTACACAAATATTTTATAACAAAGAGAACTAGATAGGTTAAAGAAACTAAACTTGCATTCCCTAGAAAGTCGAAGAGTGCGGGGAGATATGATAGAAGTATTTAAGTGGGTGAAAGGAATCAATAAAGGGAATATAGATAAAGTTCTTATAATATCCGAGCAGGTGCAACGGATTTATGTTGGATAAGTTTAGGTTTAGGAGGGAGATGGGAAGGAACTGGTTCACAAATAGGGTGGTGGATAAGTGGAACAAGCTTAGCAATTTTGTAGTAAGTGCTGGAACACTGGAAAGTTTTAAAAGGAGGCTAGATAGATTCATGGATGATAGAGCATGGTAAGAACTCTCGACAGGAGCTGCCATGCACAGGCCAACCAGCCTATTGCAGACTCCTTATTTTCTTATAACAAAAAAGTACAGTAATCTAAAATGTGTACTTTCCTTACCAGTGAGTGGCTAATGTCGCAGCTTACATACACTATACTTATCACTATCTGCTGTCATCTCTACTCCTACATGGAAGCAGTGGGATTCAAAATTTCCAATTAGAATCATTGTTTGAGAATATTTTGAGGCCCTCAATCTTGGCAATGGCCTATAATAACATGGATGGTGCTAAATTCCTTGATGGAGATTTCTTGGCATAATCTTGCATTTGGCCAACTGATCAACGTCACAACATATCTCTGGCCACACCCCTTATTCATGCAACTGCTGGGGACTTCCTTCATGAAGCACTGATGTTTTTTATTGCCTACATTATGTTATAGGACATCCAAAAAATCCACGAATAACTGATTCTGGCTGTCCATGAAGTCAACCAGATGCTTCAATGCGTCTCAGGTAATAATATTTTGAAGTTAACTACAGGTAGTTCTGCTATAACGCGATAATTGTGTTCTTGTAAAATATCGTGTTATAGAAAATCGCGTAATAGAAATAACAGGTCTTATGGAGAAAATAGGGTTATGTGCAGATTACTCGAAATCGAAAAAATTTAGTAGTTAGCCTAACACAAAGGATAGCACAGTCTAAATAAATGTTACATTCATATCTAATAAAGAAATCATACAGTAAATGTAACACTTTACTTGATGGGGGAGAAGGGTGATTTTGAGGTTGATAAAATCGAGCTTCTCTTCAAGTGTTATATCCTTTCTTTTACGATCATCACCGGGAATTCTATCACCAGAACGCTTCTTGTTGATATTCTTCTTTACTATATTCACAGTTAATACAGTGGGGTATGCTATAACGAACGGATCCTACTACGAATATTCCTATAACGAACGGTTTTACCTATAAAATTGAGAATGCTATAACGAACGAAACTCCTACAACAAACATTATTTAAATTTTTTTTTTTTCTAATTTATTGTTTTTTTATTACAAATATTAATGATATTCTTTATTTCAGGGGTTTAGATGCATATTTATGCACTTTTTTACAATTTTATATATATTTTTCAGTATTAAGTGGTTGTATTTGGGGGCCTGGAATGGATTAATCCTATAACGAACGAATGCTATAACGAACAAGGTTCTAGAACCAATTAGATTCGTTATAGCATACCCCACACCACAAAATTGGAGAAATAGTAAGCAAAAATCGCGTTATAGCAAACAAGCGTTCGCGTTATACAAATATCGTTCCTAATTCATAAATCGCGTTAGAGCAAATTCGCGTTATCGAAACACACGTTATAGCAGAACTCACTGTACTGTATAATGCTCTGGTCCACTGGCTACAGAATGGAGGTAGAGTTGGGTGGCTGGAAGACCATTTCCACTAGCACTGAAGTGCATAGAGTTGAGGCTTTCTGGGTGACCTGGGGCATTGTCAAGTAGCAACAGTGCTCTGGGCTCCAAGTTTTATTCCTCACACTATCACTTCACCATAGGACAGAAACTAACACAAATTACTATTGATAGATATCAGCTGTAACCCATGCATTCTTGTTTGACTCTCAAAAGACAGGAAGACACTAATTAAAGCCCCGTCCACACGATCGAGCACTGGCCGACGGGCAAACCAACGGAGTGCCCGTGGTCGAACGAAATCACCAGATAAGGCCGTCTATCTGGTGGTTTGACCGTTTGCTGCAAGAAGTCTATAGGTGTTGGGGTCCATTCTCATGTAGTTAGTGAAGTCTTTCTCATGTTCACCTTGCAGTTCATGTAAAATCGTGGCATGACTTCCCTTAACTTTTCGTTGAGATAACCATTCCCTTTTCTGTTTTTTCTTCTTTTTGCACACTGTAGCAATTATTATACACAGCGCTATAGTCTTCGATTTAGCTGTCCTGCGACACACCATGGTGATCGTACCGCAGCAGCTACTGCCGACCACCTGCTAGCTACCAACGGCAGTGTGTGATTGCTGCCAACCAGCACCTCCGTGTGTACGATGACACACGCAAAGTCCGCCGGGCACTGTTCGATCGTGTGGACGGGGCCTAAGAACCCTTTCATTGCTTAGGGTGTCTCAGAGTGGTAGACAAGCATTGGGTTTACCTTGAAATCACTTGCAGTGTTACCCCCAACAGAAGCATTGGACAATCATTGGCAACCTTAAATCCTGCTGCATGCTTTTCTTTGCAGAAAATGAACTTACATGAAAGCATACACTTTCAAAAGTGGCCCATCTTATCAATGTTGAACACAAGTCCATGAGGGTAGTTGCCACAATCAATGATACCCGTGAGGGTATTTCATGAATTTGCTTGCTGCCTGTCCATTAGCACTTGCACCCTCACCAGAGATATGATACACATACTGTGCAAGTTATTGCAGCACATGAACTTAGAAACCTTCCATATCAGGATAGGTTAAAAAAAACTAAACTTGCATTCCCTAGAAAGACGAAGAGTGCGGGGAGATATGATAGAAGTATTCAAGTGGGTGGAAGGAATCAATAAAGGTGATATAGATAAAGTTCTTATAATATCCGAGCAGGATAGGACTCGGAACAACGGATTCAAGTTGGATAAGTTTAAGTTTAGGAGGGAGATAGGAAGGAACTAGTTTACAAATAGGGTAGTGGACGAGTGGAACAAACTTAGCAACTTTGTAGTAAGTGCTGGAATGCTGGAAAGTTTCAAAGGGAGGCTGGATAGATTCATGGATGATAGTGAGTGGTAGTAATTCTCGGCAGGAGCTGCCATGCACAGGCCAACCAGCCTATTGCAGACTCCTCGTTTTCTTATGTTCTCAAACCACCCACAACTTGCCTGGAATGTCTCCACTGGTGATTCCTCGCCTTCATGTTCCTGGACTAGGGGCACATGATTGGGTTTGATCTTCGATACTCTAAGGTTTTTCCATCTTCTCCAGTAAAATATTCCTTGAACATGTAGTTTAGTCTTGGTAGCAAGTGGATGAATATGGTCCTAATTGTCAATGTAGCTAACTTAAAGCCTCCAAATGCCTTATAATTTGCAATTTTACATTTATGGTAGTGTTTTTCCTTGACTGCTTGACCACAGCACCAGCCCTGTCACTTGCAGACTTTTGTCCAAATAATATGGATTTCACATTTTCACAAAAAAGGTACAAAAAAGTGACACACAGTTTAGTAAATACAAAAAGACAGAAAGAATTTGAAACTTATTGCTGTAGCACCAGCCCACACACAACTACTATTTCTTTATACACTATAAGTATAGAAAAATACAACCTGGATGAAGAGCACTATAACACAGCATTCTAAGAGGCAGCACTATTGTATAAGATATGACTACATCAATCCAATTAAAATGAACAATGATTACCAGTTTCATGTCAACAAAAATGAACTCCAACAGAAATAAAAATGAGAGTGCATTATCACCACATTTACAAAATAATTCAAGGCATAACATAAGCAATAAATTATAGAGTCCAGCCACTTTATTGAGAGCTTTTCCTTATTTGGGGCAGTGTTGGATCACATATCAAAAATCTACCAAACACTGATTATGCAAATAATGAAACAAACCAATAAAATATATAGAACTATACATGAGAATACTGTACTGTAAATAGGTAAACAGGTGAATTCATCAACTGCTAATAATACTGTCTAAGTTGTCAATTTAATAACAAACTCAACAATTACTCATATAAAAGAGAATTTTTGTTAAGAACATCAATTGATACTCATTCAACAATTGGTATCTTAGTTAGCCTTCAAACAACTTTTTTTCATATCAGAGCAGACAGTATATCATAAAGCAGTGACACATTCATAATTCCTATGTCCTTATAACAGGAAAGGAAACCAAATTGAAAATAAAAACCATGAAGACATACAAAGAGCACACAAGCCTTTCTTTACCTATGATAACTAGGCATGTTTCTACCCTAGCACTAAATTGAAAAGATTTTACAAAAATGTTCTTACATCTTAGTAGAAATCTGTCTCTTTTATATATTGTATAGACTTAAGAGGTTAGAATAAAAAATTACGTACATACTTACAACCTACAAATACTGTACATACTCTGAACTGTGATATTTGGGCAGGCTTATAGGCCTGGTTTCTATGAGGGACGGATGTGGGGTGAAAAGAAGCAAGTTATCACCATGAGGCTTAAAACACCTCCTCTTTCTCGTCCTGAGGTGTGTGGACATGTTACCCCAACTTGTAATCTATTACCAAACAGAAATGTGTGGAGATGTCAAGAGTGACTGAAAATATGAGTGCAGTTCTGCAAAAATAGAAAGGTCATATGAACAAATGTAGAGAAAATAGAGGCATGCCAGTGTGTGTGTGTGTGTGTGTGTGTGTGTGTGTGCAAGCTAAACAGAAGGTATATACTAAATAAAGTGATATCTTCGTTAGTCGGAACAATTGGTACAGAGCACTTCCGGGAATGAGAGATTTCCGGGTAACGAGACAACTATCTCAAAGCCGGAAAAAAATCCCTCATCCCCGGAATTTTCCGGGTAACACAAAAATTTTCTCAGAATTTCCCCAAAATGCGCCTGATTTTCCTCTCTCAAACCCAGTAAAAAACTCCACCCATCCCTGGAATTTTCTGGGTACCAGTAAAATTTTCTAAAAATTTTCCAGAAAATGTGCCCATCAGAAAATCATTCCCAAAGCTGGAATTTTCTGGAAAATTCCGGCTCTGGGAATGATTTTCCAAGAAATTTTCAATTCCGGCTCTCGGAGAGTTCCAGTTAAGAAGGAGTCCAGCTAACAAAGATATTACCTATTATGAGAAAGAATGGAGCACAAATATTAAGTTTTTTGAGGGCGTAAGAAACATCCCAAAGTTTCTATAAGGAAAATGAATCATGTGTCAGAGTTTGTCAGCATGAGAAGAAAACAAACCTCTATTAAGGATGTGTCACGTCCACCACTGCCATTAATATAACCTAACCTAACAAAACAAATCCTAACCTAACCTATGGGTTGAGTTGTTACAATAGATTTGGTTAGATTACAATTACAGTACTTAGATTAGATTGTTTTTCAGATTAGGTTTGTGTTTCATCATTATTGGGTTGACTAGAAACTACCATCCAAGTCAGATCAACAACAGGTCATCAATAAGGTATGAAACCCAGAAATCTTCTTGTTTTGGTTTGTAGTATCCATAACATAACCTAACCTAAATTAAACTAAGGTAGAAACACGTGTCAAGTGCAACCTCCTTAACGTCTGCTTGTGTTTCCCTTGCTGCCACACTCCCCTGTCTAAATGAGTCATATTCAATGAATGAAGTGAATGAAGAGTAAAGTAAGTGTGCATATGTGTGTGTGTGTGTTCCCAGCCACCCTGCATTACATAGGAAAAGATTGGAAGAATAATAAATGATCACATTACTACAGGGATGAACGTTGATGTGATGGTTTGCCAACAACTGTCTCACATATGCTATTTTTTTAGTGATGAAGACCATCAGGATGCATAAAGGAGGGGGGAGGGGGACTGAAATAATAAACTGCATGAAATCAATATTTAAGGGATACAAATTTTATAAAAGATCACAAAGTCAAGGAAAATCTCGTTCAGCTGGACAGCGCTTTACCAAAATATATCAGAATGGTTTAACCAATCATAGAAAATCCATCGAACCAGTTTCCATACAAAAATTCATGTCGTGTCAAACAAACAAACACTTTAAAGCTTAGGTAATGTTAAATTGATGTGTGTAGTAATGTATGATGATGGTGCTGCAAATGATAAGCTCTACAATAACTAAAAGAGCAGATAAATTGCAAGTTTTTCTCCCCACTTCAGGAGCCATTACAAATTTTACAATACAGTAGAGTACATTTCTTTACATTACTACTGTACTGACTACTGTGCTAGTGTATCTATTGTTCACTCTTCTCATTATCAGAGTATAATTTTGCATCTCCCTGTATTTTTTCTTCTTTTTTATTATCACATCAAGACAAGACCTTAGCACATGTTGTCTGGCTGAACGAGGTTTACCAATTGGTTTTAAAAAAGTTTATGATGGAACCTAAGAATTATTCTCACAAAAATACTGTAACATAATTGTACTCTTAATGAGTATCTTATTAAAAAATGTTACAACTGCTGAATGGTTCAGGGTAATAAGTGTAAATTTGTTATCAATAACATTTGTACAACAAAAGTTAATTTCCAAGTTTTCTTGAAAGTTTGTACTTTTTTTGCACAGATAATATACATACTGCATGTCTTTTCTGCACCAGACAAGAAACATTATTTCATCTAAAAACAAATATAGTATCTGACAATCTCTTAAGAAATTCCCTCCAAAAATTATTACATATCTCTCAATCCCCTGATGCTTGCCTTTAACACCCAAATATGTACAAATAAAAAATTAAATAATTCTGAACCTTACCAACAGTTCAATATAATAAGGGACAGCAAAGTCAGCAGTACTTTAAAATAAAAAAATACTAAAATCCACAGCAGTTGCACCAGAAACTCAACATTTACTTGTTATCTCAGTAGCTTTACAACATAAAACAATGGAAGAGTTATATTCTTTAAAAAATTACTGTACTGTACTCTTAAATGATAATTTAAAAAATAAAAGCAATTACCTGTACAATTGATTTTAGCTACATACTGTACCTAAATAACAAGGGAGGCATAGCTACAACCATATTATTTAGATTAAAAATTACTAAACCTTAGCCAATTACTGTGAACAGTGATCAACTACAGTATATAAACATTATCACAATATAGCACCACAGCTCTTTCACATTACAACAATTTCCTTCACATGTTCCTTGTAACTCTTTGACAACTCCTATTTCTAACCTTTCACAATTCATAATTGCCATGGGACTCTTTACTTTCAAAATTTCACCTCTCACAATCTACATTAGCAAGCAAAGACTGGCTCTAATAATAATAATAATAATAATAATAATAATAATAATAATAATAATAATAATAATAATAATAATAATAATAATAATAATAATAATAATAATAATAATTATAATAATAATAATTATAATAATAAATATACTGTATTGTAAAGTCACAAAATTTTAATATAATCTGCACTTCCGTCAACTTACTTTCATGAAACGGTTATAAAAATCAAGACAAACACAAAACGTCCCTTCAGTTAAGAGAAGATTTATGTAGTATGGCATTACCTACAGTACATAACATATATCTTAATGCAGCTGATTGCATACTGTATTTGTTATTAATGGGAAATGTTTTAATCTTATGGGGGAAATACAATAAATGCAAGCATATATTAAAATCCCAGTAAATAAAAGCAAATTGTTATCACCCACATACAAACCCAAATCTGTACTACTGGCCACATGAATCTTCCCTAATACTGAAGGTCAAACTGTACTATATATGATCATCATTGAAAACTTTGAACTTCATTAAATTATGATTTTACGACTATTCTGGGTCAAAAATATCACCTACGATGATAATGAAAATACTTGATTTAAGCTCTGTTATTGCTATCAATATATGAATCCACATTTTCTTAATACTACGACTGCTGCAACTGCAATGTGACCAGAAACATTCCCCTATTTACTTCATGGAACAAATAACCACTTTTCTGAAGAAACTCTTTAATTGCTGGCTTTAATCTGGCCTGTCCTCCAACACTATGAGCACCTCGACCTGTTATCAAAGAGACTTGCATTTGTCCAATCCCCCGAGATGCTAGTACACGTTGTCTCTCTGACAGGAATGCTTGAGTTGCACTTACTGCTTCAGGAACATGTAAAAGGTGTAAGTCTAAACTATTTGCATCCTTTCTGTTTGCATTAGTCGCTTCTAAAATTTTCTTAGATGCCCGCTGATTGGCCTCAATTAACTTCGTGGAGTGCAAGTTTCCTATACGAGCATAATAAGCGGCCACTGCCTTCATTCCCTGGCTAGATGCTTCTTGTGCCTTTTTAAACGCCTCTTGACGCTGATTATAATGCAGTTGAGCTTCATTCCGATATACCTGCAAACATAAATATATTCATTAACTCCTGAATAAAATCATCTGGTGTTAGTCAAATAATTGGAAACCAGGATGTTACTCAACTCTTAGAACATGTTTTGAGGTAATAGTTAGCAGGTGTAGTTATGAATTGTCCACTCCTAAGTTAATATATACTTGTCAAAGGGTCCTACCGTTCATGCCGAGGTGACCAGGCAAGCCATCCTCACATAAGAGGAGCAGCCATTATTGTATACTGCTGGAGTGATAAAGGAAATGAAGGTATAGGTGGCTGCTACAGGAGAGGAGTTGGATGGTGGGATATGGAGTCTGGTAACATGTGGATGATGCAGTAATTTTAACAGAGAATGAATGACTTGAACAGTGAGTATGATAGAAGACAATTGGAATACTGAGAAGTGTAAGGTAACAATATCTGGAAAGAAAGACACCTGTACATTTGACTGAGGTCGCCCATATATAGTACAGTAGCTACAGGGAAACAGAAGAAGTGAGCAAATCCAGATGAAGAATACTATACACTATACAGTACTGATGAGAGGTAAAGAAAGATTATATGAAGGATTGATACTCTGCACAATTAGTACAAAGAACAGCATGGAAATCAATAAAAAGAAGTACTGCATACTGGTATATAAGTGTATTCAAATATAAAAGAAATAAGCAAATAAAATGAATAACTTTTGATCACTGCCATCGAAAACCTGAACATTTGGGATAAAATATGTGCCATTAGACAAAAGAAAAGCAGGCATCGAGTCAGTAGGGATGACACACTTCCTCCACACTCTCACCACTTCCTGTTTCCTGACTGTTTACTTAGTGTAGCAATCCTTTTGAAGAAGAGCCTTATTAAAGAGATAACCCCCCCCCCCCCTTCAGAACAAAACACAACCCATTTTTCTGTAAGGTTTTGTTGTAAGAAGTGGGGATATGATGGTTGTGGTGATTTATTCCACTGGCAGGACCATTTCACAAGCCCATTAGGACTACCCCATACAAGGTTGCTAGCTAAAGATGAAATACAAACACAGACTATATACTGAATATTATCCACTTGACAAAGTGTAAAATTTACATATTTTCTTAAGATTTGTTACTAAAAAACAGGTTTTTCATTGGTTCGACCTATTTCAAGACTGCATTTAAGAACAACTAAGACTGGATTTAAATCACACATTATTATCTTTGCAAATGTCAAAATTGAATACTTACTAAGAAAAAAATTTGGAAAAATATTTTGTTCGATACATCACAATACTTCATACACAGAACAGAATAACACATTTTACTCAGAGACTTCACTGTCATCATCAACAAAATCAGAATCAAAACGATTTTGTGGGCTGTCTGGGCATCTAAATGTACATCACAAACACATTGTTCAATGTAAGGCAGACCTGCCAGCAGACAAAACACCTCCTTGAAACAAGACAGTCTTTGTCAGTACAGTACAGGTGAGTGAGGTTACCAACCTGTACTGGTGCAAATTAGTGGTGTTATAAGTCCCTCTACAGTTTCTGGTTTCACTTTGTGACTTTGACACCAGACTGATGCCTGTAACACGACTCAGGAGAACTAATGCTTGAAAGCATCTTCCGTTGGGAGTAACATAGTTGCTTGCCTGTCTGTTGTGGAAGCTTAGTCAGAGTTCTGAACGCAGTGCGTTTCACAATCTTGAAGAATGTACTGGTACTGTCACAACCAGTGAGGGCATGTACAGCAGGGAGGAACATTGACACCCGTTTGTGAAGCCTTTCTACGATAGTATACACAGGTATGTACCGTTCTCGTGTGATGGATTGTCCAGAGTGCCCAGCATGCATACTACAGGAAAGAGAAGCCCCTTGCCGTAGTATTGCAGTAAGATAACTAGAATGTCTGTGTCATCACACCGCACCACAGTCCTGTGATGAGTTTTGGCAAAGTCAATGGCACGCAGCACAACCTGTGTGTCTGCTTCTTCAGATGTAAAGAAAACATGTTCCAGCAGGACCTCACCAGACCTCCTCACACTTCACTGTCTCCACGTTGGCAAAGACCCCAGCAAGAATGATGGATTTACCCACTGACAAAGGCAACAAGGGCAGCTTTGTTGGCTGGTCCTTTCAAGAAAAGACAGGAATTTGGGACATTCCATGAGACAGTTACTTGATGAGTGGGTGTGATCCCAACAGCTCCTCTGTGTTGTCATTCTGTCTGCTTTATTGAATTTGGCTTATCATATCGGTCCAAAAAGACTATGACTGTCAACTACAAGTTGATCGTCTTCTCGGATGTGCAGGATCTTTTTCGGTATGTTCTCTGATAGGTCATCAAAAGTCTTGAATAGTGATTCATTTAGAGAATGGGTCATTGCCATTCCATCGGTAATGTAAGCAGTAGCTTTCTTTTCACAGGGAACTTTTGTCAGTGTGCAAATTTCATCACAAACAGCTTCCAGCATCTTTGTTTGATCAGCTTTGAAAGTTTTCGCATTGACCTACCATCACTGAATAGAGCTGGGGTACAGAAGCAACCTCATACTGCGAGACTGCATTGAATTCAATACCACGTGTCTGTGATACACCCAGTAGGTGACGATTGAATGATCGGGTAAAAATATCTGACATCTCAGCCTGTGGCTATTTGATGCCAAAAATGAAATTTATAATCTAAAACTTCTGTATGATACTGTATAAATAAAATAAAACCCTATTAAGTTTAAATTTCAAAATTAAAATACAGTACAGTAATATAAAATCTTGTATTTAAAATTACAATTGGTTAAGTATCTTTACTGCAATAAAAAAATTACAAGTCCACCATCAGGTGCTGAACTTCTGTAACTGAACACCTTTGGGATGGAAAAGGATTCATCCTCCTTGCCAGCACTCAGCCACAAAACAACTCAAGTAACTGGGACGGGACATTCTACCAGCAAGTGTCTCACATTAAGTGGCACCAGGTATTCATCACAATAGGGCTGTGGTCCTCTGACCATAAGGAAGCTGTGCTTTGAAAGACCAATTTTGGGTTCATGGTGTGCATCTGGAGGGGTCCCGGAACCAATTATTTTTCCCCATTAGTTTACAGTACAGTACCCAAGTACTGCCGCTCTGTTGGCACCAATTACCCACGTACTTGGGGAGAGCACTGTACAAACATTCACACAAATTCCACAAAAATCTATAAGGTTGTGTGAGGCTATACATCGTTTTGAGACACCCTGTACATAAGAAAGAATTTAAATACCTGTGGATCATCTGGAAATCCCTCATCTTCATCCTCTTGTAGGGCTAATTCCTCTTCTTCCTCTTGCTGAGCTAAACTATTCTGCTGTGCCTGTTGTATCATCTGTTGCTCAAACCTGTACAGCGCTTCAGGGGCTATCACAGTCTTGGGAGTTCCCTTTTCTGAACCATATTGATCACAAAGTCTTTCTACTGTATTCTTGTAATTGTAGTCACTTTTTGTAAATTCCTCCTTCAGTGCGTCGGGATCAACGTGAGGATATTCCGTATACAAACGCTGTAAGTTGAGACAAGAGGAAATAGAAAGACTGTCTGCAGAAACTGTATCTACTTGGCTTTGCTGAAGAGCTTTTTCTAGGTCCATAATTTCTTGTAATCCAGAGGGTGGATCATTTTGGAATATTTCATCAATCTTCTCTGTTTTCTTTCCATTTCTTGTTCCTGCCTCGGAGTTTTCTTCCTCCTGCAAACGCCGTGCAAGAATTTCATCTTCACGGATAAGGGTGTCTAAGACCTCTGCCTCATGCTCAAATTTGCCATCAAGGGTAGATGCCCAGTTTTTATGAATCATGAGACAAATTTCTAGAGGGAGGATAACACTGCGGTCTTCTAGCGACAACTCTCCACTAACTTCACAAGAGCCCACAGGACCAAACATTCTAATAAGCTGAGAGGCAAACAGGGAGTCCATTACCAATGTCACATATTGGGCTCCTTCTCCACCCTCACCATTGGTGCTGCTACCTGAAGATTGTACCTTTTTGTCTGGTGTATTTTTCTTTCCTCCTTGTTTCTTCCTTGCTTTCATCTGTTTAACTTTTTTCATGTTGAGATCATTGAAATCACTACCAGTTAATCTTGTTACTCTGTCATCCACAGATTCTGGAAAAGTAAAAGCATTTTCAATTGCCTTCTTATTTTCCAAATCTTTTAGTTTCTGGCTCTGCCTTATTTTTTTAGATCTATCTTCCAAATGCATATCTAGAGACATGTCACTAGCATCAGCAAATGAAGACTGGTCATTCCTACCCTCTCCAGTACTTGCTGTGTCCCCTGTTGACTCTGTGTCTAAGTCTAGTTCCTTAATTTCTGCAGGACTTATATTTGTATCAGTGGGATCTGACATTTCATACCCACTGTCCAGCAACACATTCATAGCCCAGTCTAAATTATATTTGCATTTTTCTAATACATCTCGAAGATCATCCTGTGGAATGTGTGGAAAGAATGCAACAAGATTTTGAAAGGATTCTACCATGGTGACATCCAAGTTGCTTTCTGTCATGCTACTTTTATCTAGGCAAAGTTTTCCCCGGGTTAAAGGTCCATTTTCAGGTAAAACTTCAATGGTTGTCTTTGTGACATAATCTGGTTGACCATACAGTACCTTCAACTCATAGAGATTATTATCTAATTGTAAAGCCTCAAAGTCAATGGACAGCGTTTGAGTTTCTGCAGTGGAAGATTTAATTTGCACAGTCTTCTTGGCATCACATAGGATCTTTTCTTCATTTAGCAAAGCATTTGTTGCATCAGATGCTGCCTGCTCGTCTGAATGACTTGAACTAGTACTGGCTGCCGAGTGACTTCGAGTATGTCGTCGCCGTTTCCTGAACTTAGATACTGCACCAGTATGAGGCTGTAGTTCTAGAGAAATGTTAGAGTGTAACTCTTTAGTCCCTCTCTTTGATGGACTGGTGGAATGAGGTGAAGTAGTGTTCCATGAGGGTGTACCACTCTGAACGGGATTCCAAGAAGCAATAGTTGGATCTTCTATAATGTCAGCCTTTTCATTTGTATCACCGAGCCATTTAGTTGGATCTCCAGGTGCTCGCTTACGTCTGGTTCTACTGGGCTTAGAGGACTGTGCCTCCAAGTCACTGACCTCAACTTTTTTAGAAGAATCCCAATCCCCAGAGCTTACTCCTTCTGTTACATCCACACAATCCCAGGACATTAAACTATCTGCATCTGGCTGGTGATCCCTAGTGTCCTGTGGAGGATCTCTGTTAATAGTGGATGGCGTATATTCATTATAAAACTCTGTGTTGCCTGTTTCCAAAACTTTATCTTCTGTAGACATCTCAGTACTCTTGTCTTCTCGAGTCTCTTCTTTCCAGCACTCTGAAGGTTCGTCTCCTAATTTTTCTTGACATTCAACCTCTGAGCTAGATGAAACACACATCTGCCTGGAATCAACCTGATCTTGTTCTGACATATCTATCTCTCCAGTGACAAGTAATGCTTCAGTATTACTGGTATGTACAGAATCTTTTCCATCAATCAAGGCATCAAGTTTGGTATGATCTTCAACAGGATCTCTTGTTATCCTACTGGAAATATTCTCATCAGTATCATTAATCTTTAAATTTGATGTTGCTTCTGTTAAACTTATTATAGAGAATAAACTTTTGTCAGCTTCACCCCCTTCATCTTGATTTCCATCCACAAGCAAAAAATTGTGCTCTTCATTTTCTCCTGCTTGTGTTACAAGCATGGAGAGAGATTTGCCAGTTTTCTCTTCCACATTACAACATAATTCATACATGGCTGTATCTTCATCATGAGTGTCTACTGTATCAACACTTGCCACGCTTTTATCTATTCCTGTGCTCCCACTAACATTTTTCTCTATCTCTGCTTTTACAATAGTTCCAAAACTCATGACCAGATCACTAAACTTCTGGTCACTTACTGCCTCTTCATCGGTATCCTGTGAAGTCAAATTGAACCAATCTGTCTCATTTTGTACAATATCAACATCAGTATTTGCTTCTTCAATTAATATTTTTATTTTATCTTCATCTGATATGTCTCCCCATTCCAGTTCACAAGTTACCTTTAGCTCGCGACCCATACTCTTGTTCTCAGGAAGTTCTATTTTGTCATCATCTCTACTGTGGCTCAATATTTTATCAAGTTTGTCATCTATCCAAATAGGAGAGCCAATTCCTTCTTCACTACCTCCTTTTTCATGCTTTACCTCACCATCTGCTTGTACTTCATCTGTCATTTTTTCCTTTAAGGCAGGAGATGTACAGGTATCATTGTTATTTCTAGCTTCCTGTACAATTTTTCCTCCATCAAAAACACAACTTAAATTCATGACACCTTCCTCTTCCACTTCAGAATCAGAATCATATCCTTCAACTACTACATCAGCATCATCATCGCTATCGTCAATAGAAATCCAATTTTCTTGAGGAGGATCTAACAATGAAATGTCAATCAGTTGTCTGACTTTAATGCTTTGGGATGGAACAGTAGGTTTATCTTCCTTTGTCTGTATGTCAGAACTAAAAAATTCTCTGTCATTTCTGCTGTTTTGATTAAATGCCTGAAAGCCCCGCAAGGAAGTGATAATGTGTTCAATCTTTATATCTTTATCATATCTTCCTTTCATCTCTGTAATTTTACCCTTGGGTACACCATGTATATTTTTTCTAGCAAGTTCTTTTGCATTCAGCTTCCAAGGAGTTTCTGCATCTAAAATATCCACTTCATAACCATACTGAAGGCCAAGTTTAACATAAGGCTTCATTTCCCACATTTGTAAGTTTGTGTTGTCAATTATTATTGGAGTTTTGCCATCCTGTAGTTTCTGGAGAGCTCTGTGTTTATTCCACTGATGTGCTTCATTAATACGGGACGGGTCGTAATTATACTTCCCGCGTTTATCACAAAAAAAGTCATCCGTGGAAAGAATAACTCCAGTCCTACCTTTTATTTCCTTGGCCAATGTTGTTTTGCCAGAGCCAGGTAAACCCCTCATTAAAATCATAACTTTCTGACCTTGTAAAATCTTCTTAACAATTTCATTTTTTTTACAAATTTTTTCTTTGGGTTTGGGTTTATCTGTTGAGTGCAGAGATGATAGCTGAGGAGCCTGCACTAAGCTGCGGCACATCCCTAGAGGCCATATGCCATTACTGTTGGCTGATGAATTTAGGGTTAAGGCATTAGGCACAAATTCTGGTGCCAAGACCCACTGAGAAGTATTTCGCTCTCGATTTACCTCATAATCAACTCCCAATGAAGCAAGTTTGAGTGGAGACTGCGAGGGTGAGGAACACTCGCTCTCCATGCCTCCATAACTACTGTGGGGTGATGCAGGACACATTTCTCTCTCACTTCTTTTGAAAAAATCTTCATGTATGTCAGTCATTCCATTGTAAGTACTTTCATGGTGAACAATGTCAGGAACTAAAGGTGGTGTCACAAAATTTACTTCATCACCATTCGTTTCCTGCCTTACAAGTTTATTAGACTGATAATCTGAATTTTTGTCAATATGATCACCATTAAACTTTAGCAGGTCTTTAGAATCTTTTTGCAGTTCACTGTCATTGTCTGGGAAATTACTATGAAACTTCCTGCAACTGTCCTGCACAAAAGAATCAGCAGCTAACGCATTCCGTACATAAGCAGGCAGGTCATTTTCATCTATCATTGCCAGTAACAGTTCTGATGCACGTTTAGATTCCCAGTCACAAGACTGAAGTACCATTTTGATGACTTCATGCTCAACAACTTTCCCGAATATTTCGTCAAACTTGGTCAACACTTCACCATGGTCTGTCCCCGCCATTATTCCTGTTCATCTAGCTTCTTGCTGTTGTAAGCTCACCATTCCCACCGTTTCTCTACAGACAACAATTCCTCTTGACTAAACAACGCCAAAGCTGAATTCTTATCACATGACGACAATCTGTAGTATAAGTTATTAGAGAAAAACAAACTTGGCAACTACAAGATGGTCGTATAAGGGAATAGGATCACTTAGCTGCTCGCCGAATGTGGCCAGATTCTGCTCCAACTTCATGATCCTTTTCTTCCATGACGCATACATTAGTTAGTGGGAATACCTCTTGTACTGTACAACGCAAATGTTACTATTTTATCCAAATTTCCTCCGCCCTTTGTGGCGGCGCCTTTGTTACAACTTTGTAGTAGATTACTTACCATCCAATATCTATTTATTATTATTAATTAAAGGCGATATATAAAACCATGGTATTCCTAAGTATATTTATGTTCTAAGTAACTGGATTAAAATTAGTTGTCTATATGTATACAGTTTTGCATGCATATAAAGTGATAGATAGATTCATTAAATAGCCCTACAAGTTCACAATGGTTCTACATAAACCTACACAATATAAGTATACTGGAAATAAATGCACATATCCTGTCACGTTATCTCGCTTAGGATTAAATCAAGTTTAGTCTCTGCATAGTTAATTATACCATATACAGTGAGTATTAATCCATTGAGTGGTAGTAGAAGTAAAAAGGGTAAACCGCTTGGCTTTAGAATAAAATACCTAAAGGAACCCCAGACGGCTAGAAACTGTTAAGTGGTGTTATAGTAAATGAGATACATCTATTAGAGCTAATTTCCATCGAATTGTCACAACAAAATAAATATATTTAACAAGTTCGTTGTGTTTTAATGCTTAATCAAATGGTTATCCTTAAAGTTCTCAGCACCCGCCAAAGCAAATAAAATTGGGAAGGAATAAACACTTTTCTTGCTAATTTTATAATAGGACCACAACTAATGGCCTTCAACATTGTGAACTCCACTACTATCAGAGACTTCCAGCCACACAGTCACTTGTCACCATCTCATACCCGATAACTTCGATGAGTGGAAACTGTAACTGTTTTGGGCATCTACAGTATGTTGAGTTTGACAGTCATTGATAAACTGCTGTACATTTGCCTTCCCAGGATGTAAAGAAACTTCATACGCATTTAGTTCTTCACTTGCAACCCACAGTGAGAAAACTTATTAACAAATTATGTACTTATGAGAGATATGATGATTTTATATTTGCATTATTTTATTCAATTATCTTAGCCATAGGGGGGTTTTGATTTTTCTTTGCGTATATTGGTAAAAGAAACCAGTAGTCTAGAGGCTTTACAAGATGAAGGCATGTATTTAAATAAGTGCAGCTTAAGATAGGGTAATTATAACTATATATACACTACAGTTGCCTACAGGAGTTCCTTTCCTCCCTGTTGTGTCCATTATGTTAATAATGTATACATGAGGTGACAGGAGTTATAAAGGGGATATAGATAAAGTTCTTATAATATCCGAGCAGGATTAGGACTCGAAGCAACGGATTTAAGTTGGATAAGTTTAGGTTTAGGAGGGAGATAGGAAAGAACTGGTTCACAAATAGGGTGGTGGACGAGTGGAACAAGCTTAGCAACTTTGTAGTAAGTGCTGGAACGCTGGAAATTTCAAAAGGAGACTGGATAGATTCATGGATGATAGAGAGTGGTAGTAACTCTCGACAGGAGCTGCCATGAACAGGCCAACCGGCCTATTGCAGACTCCTTATTTTCTTATGTTCTTATGCTCTTATAATTCCAACCATTTCTACTGCTGTTGGGGAGGGAGAGAGAGTACCCAGTCGTTAATGTTATACAGTAGACTCAGTAGAGAGCTAAGAATCCGCCTCATAGATTTAAAAACTCAAACTTAATACAAGATATGTTCAGCTAAGATACGCTAAAGGTACCAAGTGATATAGAAGTCCTCTTATCTAGAATAGGGTATGATGAACATCAATATTTTATTACAATTATGTTTACAGGTTTATATATATATATATATATATATATATATATATATATATATATATATATATATATATAATCACACAGGGGAAAAGGGAAACAATGGAGCACCTTAGTATTTATATATATATATATATATATATATATATATATATATATATATATATATATATATATATATATATATATATATATATATATATACGAGATAATCATCATGACGTCTGACGAAAATTCAGATCAATATACTGTATTTAGATGTGAAATTTAAAAGAGGACGGAAAACAAAATAAAGGCACACGGGACCACATGAAGACTCTCCACCTCAGCTTCGTTCATAAGAACATAAGAATGGGGGAAACTGCAGCGGGCCTATTGACCCATACTGGGCAGTCCCGTTTATACCCAACCCCTATTGCTCATATAAGCATCCAACCTATGTTTGAAGCTATTCAGCGTATTCGAGTTAGGTTAACCACCCTAACACTATTTGGGGGATGAGGTTAGCTTAGGTTAGCGTTAAGGTGGCTAATCTTTATGTGATATAAGTTGGGAAGGAGATTCTTCAGGTGATCCGGAATACGAACCATAAAGAAAGCTGAGGATGTGTAGAACTACCTCAGCCATGCTGGATTATGTTGGGTAAACGGCTGCCAGCAGTAGGATAATGTTCATGGTTATCACACGTCACACCTGCGGCTGATAATTTCAAGTTATTTGTCATAAAAATCATTTATCACCACATAATCTGAGAATAAAATCTTAAATAAGGAGTAGAATTTGTTTACCTCGCTGGTTTGGTTGGTCAAGACTTTATCCTCTTGGCCATTGATCGACTCGTTAGTTGCTTGAGGTAAATAAGGTAAATATATTTTTTAATATTTGGGTCTACTAGAAAACGCAAAAATTAAACTAGTTTATGAACAGACTCCTGAAGACTGTAAGAAGGTTGACTAATTCTTGAATTTAGTGAGGCATTTGGGTATAAACTTGAACAGTACTGGTATACACAACATTCTATATATACGAGGCTTCAATACATGTTAAACAATACATTACGGGTCAGAAATCAAACCCGAGACCTTGTGATGCCGTACTATTTATTCTTGTCGTTTTAAAAAGAAAGATAAGCTTTATTATCGGCGTGTCATACATATAAACATTCAATAAGTAACATTGTTTTCCTTGAGAGACGGTGAACGTGAACAACACCCGGTCATTGTGCTGTGTCTCGTGATCCTGTGGGTAAAGTATCTCAGGAAATGCCAGCAAATTTGGCAGCCAAGTGGAAACCCAGAAGAAATCGATTGCCGACAATAGCATGTTCCATAGGTATTTATCTGACTGTTATAGTTCACTAGGCCAAGAAAAAACTTTAATCCCGTCATATATGGAGACATAAGGAAAACCTGCATCTACTGAATGATCATACAGGGCGTATTTCCCGGTGTTGGTTGAGGTGCGTGGATGTCTGTGGACACTCCTTAGTTCTAGCCAATGGCGTTACTCCGATGTAATGACGTCATAGTGAATGGCGTACTCCTACCACTGCACCCAATCACTTGCATAGACGTCATTACTATGAGTCAGGGGCCAGGTAACCACATCGCTGACGTCACTACTCCACAGGCAGCCAATACGAATATTGGTGGGAGTCTCGCGGGCTCGTATTGGCTTGCAGCTTTAGTTACTATGACCAGCAGCAGGTGTTCTTGTAATTTCTATGAAGACGACTTCTTTAATAAATTAATTGTATTTAGAAACGTCTTCAACGTAGCGAGTAAACTACTGTACAGAAACTATTAAGATAATAATATGATCTGGGCTTTGAAAAAATATCTAGTTAATACATATACGGTGAATTACTTTTATACTGTATCACATCAGTAAACAAGAGGAAAAACAACGTTTCCTCGGTCACACTGGAGGTGTAAGCCCAGGAGATTCCTGTGGTATGACGTCACCCGAGAACTCGCTAGTCTGTAGATTTCCCAGATACTTTCGTTCGAAAACGAATTTTCTTGACTTTGCAGGTCAGGATTGGTTCCTTATTCTCTAAACAATACGGATTATCTCAGAAAATGGGTGGATGTTGCCCAAACTGCGTAGGAATATTAATCTAAGACAAACGTGTATAGTATATTGTGTTGTGTAACTTAGGAATATTAGAATAACACATGAAGAGGGTTTTTGTAATACAGAATAACATCTTGGTCAACAGAGAGCAGCAGTAGGATAATGACTGGGAAGGACCGATACTAAATGTTGGCAGCTGACTCCGAGCAGGAAGCAGGAGTACCTCTGGGCTGGCGTCTGCTACCTGTTTAGTTTTGTTCACCTGTGTGGGCGGAGCAGCGTGGCTAGCCTTACCTGCCTCCTGTGGCGCGTGTTGATTATATTAGTGTTTGTGAGGAATAGAGGTCTGGTCCCCACACGGTGTACGATGTAACACTGCCTGGCTAACGCTTCATCACTCAGGGCTCTATGGCTGTGTTGATATAAATTTGACAAGATCAAATTAATGCCAACATAGAAGACAACAGAGGTCCAGCTGTGTTAGCTTTTGCGATAAAGCTAACAAGAGCTACGAAGGACCATCATACGGATAGCTACAAGGACCACGTACACGGCAACTACTACAAGAACCACGTACACGGACAGAACTCTACAATGTCAGATGTTGAAACGTAAGTTTAGTTTGTTTAAATTTACAATAATGTTTTACGTATGATAAATTATGCAGGAAATTCTATGGCAACTCACAAAATAAAACTTTTATTAACATTTACACAAAAATAAGTAAACAATGATAAGATTTCTTTTATAATTTGAGGTAATTCCCAGCACCTTTGGCAGTCTTTTATTATGATATGTATTTAGTAAACATCTCAAGGTAGACTTCGCTCAATTCATTTATCAACAGGTAAAAACAAAGGCTTATAGATGAAGGTTTATTTCAACGGTGTATGGTATCTCTGTGGTTATAATATTTCGTATTTTTATCTTTCCATGTCACTACGGGGGAAGGGATACAACTCAGTTTTAAATCAACAGAAACTTTTTTTTTATGAAATTTTGAGATTCTATTTAAACGAAGTGGCGAAAATGTTATGTACATTGTTTGTATACTTGCACTGTCTATGTACA